TCTGATTCCTGATCCTCCACGGACGGGTTGGTCGTTGGATCGCCAACCTGAAGAGGGAGGATTTGCCATCGAACTTCTGGCCAGAGAAAAAACCCGTAATATGTAGCCAACATTTGGAAGAAGAATGTTTTCAAGATGACTTGGATAATAGCGCGTTGTGACAAACACCAGATACAGCACTGGGACTTGATCAACAGCCGATACCGCACCGTGACAATGTCACTAACCAGTAGGTGGCAGTAGTGTTCTTTGACAAACATGGATGCCTCCAGTAAAGCACATTCACATGAAAATTACTCTGAATTAAAAACACTGATCATTTATTGAACAGGATGGAATCATTTCATATTTAAAGAACTTTCAGAAGTTTGAATTCTGAAAATGAGCGGACTTCTTTAAAGGAATAGTACACCCAAAACATGATTAGCCTTCATTTTCTACTCACCCCCATGCTGAACAACACTCTGGAGTACTTTTTTGATATCTCAAATGCATCTGGAGATCTGGGAGGCTTCTTGCTGTCTGCTGACATTCAAATAATGGAGGTCTATGGCGCCCGAGGCAGAAAGGTCCATAAAAGTCCACAAAAGTCCACAAAGTGCGCATTCAGCTCGGCAAAGAACTCATGCTCTTCCTCAACACTGAAGTCCTCAGACATTTTTCTTTCGTTGTTTCTTTCTTTGCACAGGTAAACAGCACATTTCTTCTTCTACGCTTGCATTATCGGCAGAGCAGACGCTGAATGCGCACTTTCATCTGGTTTGGTCTGCCGCGGTTTCCGTAGACTCGTCAACGCGCTTTTAGGAAATCCTATACACTACTGTTTATGCTCTAAAAACATTCTAAATGATTTCGTTTCGAGTAAATTCTGGACGCTACCCACTCAGGACACTTGGAATACATTGGACGAGCAGCATGGAGGAATATTGACACTTTTATGGACCTTTCTGCCTCGGGCGCCATAGACCTCCATTATTTGAATGTCAGCAGACAGCAAGAAGCCTCCCAGATCTCCAGATGCATTTGAGATATCAAAAAAGTACTCCAGAGTGTTGTTCAGCATGGGGGGAGTAGAAAATGAAGGCTAATCATGTTTTGGGTGTACTATTCTTTTAATAAAAATGGGGTTGTAAAAGTTATGATTTCTTAACATACTTTTTTCCACCATGGAATAACAATATTTGAAATAAAGTTTGGATAATTAAATGCAACATGTTTCTGTTTATCTTAGTACAAAAAAAAGAAGAAAAAAGACTTTTTCACCGCCCAAATGATCATGACGGATGCTGAACGTTACAGTAACTGATCAAGCAAAGCCCATCTTTGAAAGGTTTTGTCCTGTCCAATAGAAAGTCTAATAAACCATGTGAGCTCATGTGATGCAAAAAAATAAATAAAAACCCACACAGCCTGTAGCAGGAGACAGATTAGACCAAATAACTCCATCTAGCAAGGTCATTGCTTCCTCTGATCCTTAAAATAGCACATAGAAAACCTCCACTTAGTTCCTCATAAATCAAACTCTCCCACAACAACATCAACTCCATTCTTTTATATATATTTTTTTAGTTAAAGCCTTTTGTGGTTATAGAAAACATCCGAAATATCAAAGCCTGTCCTTTAAATGTCGGCCATGACTCCCACTGTTGTGTAAAACAATACTGGAGCCTAAAAGGCATTTAAAAGCAACAAATTGATCAGAAGTCAAAACCGTTGAGTCTCAGCCACCCAACACCCCCTCCATCTGTCGCTGCCACAGCTGCCACAACCTGCGCTGAAGGCAGAAACACATTTCAAGGCCTCTCTGATGGATAAATCATTAAGTGACCGAGGGCAGTGGTTACTGTTGGAAAGGAGCTTTAAAAAAAAGGGGGATTTAAAGGTGGAGAAGGATGAGTGAGAAAGAAAGGAAAGCAGGGAAAGACAGGAGGATAATTGGGGAGAGGAGGGGGCGGGGAGGAAGCTGTGGAGGTTTCATTGTGCCCAGTGGATGAATGGTGGGATTCAGAGGGTGGTGGGAGGTGGCCAAACACAATAGTGAAAGTAAAGACTGTGTTTCCAGTCTTCCCTCGGCCAACGATCCTTTTTCTCCTTCTTCTCTGTTGCCTGAGAGACGCGGATCATGGTGTTAGCTCAGGTTTTAAACCCTTTCTGGCCCCGGCTGCAGGATACAAACACTGAGCAGAAAAATCTCTCATTTCAGTTAGTAACTAATCCAAATTGTACTACAGTAACAATAGTTTGAAGTAGCTTGAGTTTATAAATAGTCCTGCTTTGGAGAGCGTACCTCCACCGCTCTAGGCGCCCCTCCACCTGCTTCTCACAGTCAGGGTATTCCAGGGGGATTGCTGCTGATAGAGGCTCAGAGCTGCTCCCTGATGTAATCTCATCCCCTTATTGAACCCATTTGTCCGTCCTGCAGCAGCACACCTCGCTGTCATCTCTCTGTCATGTTCTACCATCACAAACTTCTCCGTCACAGCTGGATGTTTGTCCTTTAAGTCACACCTTGACGATTTAGACCAGCGTATGCCTGACTTCCTAGCAGACATGATGCTGATGCTGCCACTGCAAACCTTCTTTCTTTTTCTTGAATTTATTCTTGTTTTGGGGGTGGCTGGTAAACAGCAGCTAGGTTAATACTGCGATCAAAGACATCTTTTTATGCAGGCTTGGCGCCTCCGGGCGCATCGCTGCCCCCCTCAGGACCCTGGCTTGTGCATCATTTCCTCAGCATTAATCTGCCGTGCGTTATGCAGAAGTTAGGCTGTCGTTGGACAGAAATCATACGCTTGAGAAATCAGCAAGGTGTGACAGAGCCTGGGCATTTTTGATACACTTCATGCCCAGCAGTACTTCAGGCTTTAGAAACTGCAGTAACCCGTTTTGAAAGGCATCTAATTAAATGAATAACGGACTAATGAGGAACCTCACTGACCCACATGTTTGCTCCAGATGACGGCACATTCTGTTCGACCTTTCCCCTGAAGATATTTCCCACCTAATTTAATATTTTATGAAATGTTAGAAAATAAAATGTCGTACTTTAACTGACAATACAATTAAATTTAATTCTATTCACTTTATTTCTATAGCTCCAATTCCCATCATGTCATCTCAGGTCACTTTACAGTTCACCAGATCATCCAGTCAGATTGATTCAAAGTTTTCTATCTAAGGAAAACCAGCTGATTGCATCGACTCATTCACTCTTCAGCAATCCCTCACACTAAAGGCTGATTTATACTTTGAAACCAGGTCATCTGCATAGATGTCCCCGCCCCCTTCCGCAGAAATTCTGCTGCACCTCTCCCAAATTGTAGGTGACCGCAGACAGGAGGCCCGCTTGTTTTGTTTTTCTGACCGCAATTGCAGGAAAACGACTCGTAAAGTTGGACCAGCTAGAAGATTGAGGTGCACAAGAACGCTGGGAACCTTTTTCCACCTGGTTTCCCGCCCTTTTTCGCCATCCTTTCCCTCAGTTGTCGGACAAAATTGCCCCCACTTCCTCACCGCCTCGGCCGTATCTAGACCCACAGTGAATTGAGCATAAATAAAAAATGTCTGCATCAAGCTTATTGCTGCGGGGAGTATAACCAGCCCTTAAGCATGCTTATAGCGACAGTGGAGAGAAAAAAACTCCCTCTGAACAGGAATAAACCTCCAGCAGAACCAGGCTCAGTGTGAGCGGCCATCTGCTGAGGCCCACTGGGGTTCAAGGAGACAGAAGCAGACATAGAAAAAGAAGCATAGATACAAAAGGCAACTGTCAACCAGCTCCACAGGCGGCCCCGTCCAGGAAACACACAGCCAGGCAGACGAGCTCCGAGCCAGCTCCCATGTCAGAGGATGAAGAGAGCACATCCAGTTAGTCACAGTCAGAGAAACAGGACTACACTGGAAAACAGGCCAAGCTCCAACATCTAGAAACAAAGGTGTTGATGGCAGCAGCACAGCTGATATTTCTCTCCAGGATGGAGTCACAGCCAAACAGGAACAGACCAGATGAAGCTACTATGAGAAAAAGCAGAGAGAGCAGAACGTTAGAGATTGAAGTAACAGATTCTGCAGAGTGGGAGAATAGAGATAGAATGAAGCAGAATGATGAAAAAGGGGTCCCTATGTCCTCCAGCAGTCTAAGCCTATAGCAGCAGAACTATAGAGATAGCTCAGGATAACCTGAGCCACTCTAACTAGAAGCTTTATCAAAAAGGAAAGTTTTAAGCCTAGCCTTAAAAGTAGACAGGGTGTCTGCCTCACGGACTAAAACTGGTAGTTGGTTCCACAGGAGAGGAGCCTGATAACTAAAAGATCTGCCTCCCATTCTACTTTTAGAAATTCTAGGAACCACTAGTAAACCTGCAGATTGAGAGCGAAGTGCTCTGTTAGGAACATAAGGAACAATCAGATCTCTGATATCAGATGGAGCTCGGCCATTTAAGGCTTTATATGTGAGAAGGAGGATTTTAAATTCTATTCTGGATTTAACAGGAAGCCAAAGAAGAGGAGCCAGGATAGGAGAGATATGATCTCTCTTTTTCATTTTCACATTGACTTCAATGAGTAGCACTTCAACTGACACATTGAATTTCTACATTTCTTTTTGGTCCAATAAGCCTCATGAATCTTTACCTTACATAGAAACTGAATTAGTCATAACCACTATTAGGGAATAGTGTGTACCAGACCACATGCTTGGAGATTGCTGTGTAAAGGGGAAAAAATGCTGAGATTCAGCTCATCTTTGTGTCAAACCAGCAACAACCCAGGCAGCATGGCGGGGTTAATCACCGGCCTGTCACTGATACCGTCTCTCTGACCCACTTTTCACAAAGAATTACCATATCAACAAATCTTCATAATGCACTGTGTGCTGAATGTTGCCACGCAGGCAGTTTTCTTTGTTTTTCTCTGCAGGAGCGACAGTTAGACGGGTGAAGGTAAGATCACAGAGCAGTGGAATAAACGGTGCAGATGACGTGTGATGTCTCTGTTCTCAGGTACTCCACTGAGGCCCATCACTCCGGCGAAGATATCAGAGGAAGGTGACGATGTTTTAGGAGACTACACTGTTGGTGAACACGTCTGGGTGAACGGCGTCAAACCTGGAGTCATCGCCTACCTCGGGGAGACCCAGTTTGCCCCCGGACAGTGGGCTGGGGTAATACTGAACGACCTAGTTGGCAAGAATGACGGGTCAGTGGGCGGCGTGCGCTACTTCGAGTGCCAGCCCCTCCAGGGCATCTTCACCCGCCCCTCAAAGCTCACCCGCCAGCCGGTCGGAGAGGGGAGCGATGGCCACTCCACCGACTCCACACAGAATCAGAGTCAGCAGGGAGGCAGCGGCGCCCCTGCTGGCCAGAGGGTGGTGGTGCCGCTCAGGGAGGGGCTCCTCAATAGTGCGGTGAAAACAGGAAACGAGTCGGGCTCTAACTTGTCGGACAGCGGGTCTGTGAAAAAAGCTGGAGATAAAGACCTGCGTGTTGGAGATCGAGTTTTGGTGAGTAGTAGATTTTATCCATCCATCCATCCATCCATCCATCCATTATTCATCCATCATCCATCCATCCATCCATCCATCCATCCATTATTCATCCATCATCCATCCATTATTCATCCATCCATCCATCCATTATTCATCCATCCATCCATCCATTATTCATCCATCCATCCATCCATCCATTATTCATCCATCATCCATCCATCCATCCATCCATCCATTATTCATCCATCATCCATCCATCCATCCATCCATCCATTATTCATCCATCCATCCATCCATTATTCATCCATCCATCCATCATCCATCCATCCATCCATTATTCATCCATCCATCCATCCATCCATCCATCCATCATCCATCCATCCATCCATCCATTATTCATCCATCCATCCATCCATCCATCCATCCATCCATCCATTATTCATCCATCCATCATCCATCCATCCATCCATCCATCCATCCATTATTCATCCATCCATTATTCATCCATCCATCCATCATCCATCCATCCATCCATCCATTATTCATCCATCCATCCATCATCCATCCATCCATCATTCATCCATCCATCCATCCATTATTCATCCATCCATCCATCCATCCATCCATTATTCATCCATCCATCCATCCATCATCCATCCATCCATCCATCCATCCATTATTCATCCATCCATCCATCCATCCATTATTCATCCATCATCCATCCATCCATCCATCCATCCATCCATTATTCATCCATCATCCATCCATCCATCCATCCATCCATTATTCATCCATCCATCCATCCATTATTCATCCATCCATCATCCATCCATCCATCCATCCATCCATCCATCCATTATTCATCCATCCATCCATCATCCATCCATCCATCCATTATTCATCCATCCATCCATCATCCATCCATCCATCCATTATTCATCCATCCATCCATCATCCATCCATCCATCCATCCATTATTCATCCATCCATCCATCCATCCATTATTCATCCATCCATCATCCATCCATCCATCCATCCATTATTCATCCATCCACCAACCCTCATCCATCCATCCATCCATCCATCCATTATTCATCCATCCCCACCATGCATTTTTCATCCCTCCCTCCATCATTTTTCATCATCCACCATCCATCCATCCATTATTCATCCCTCCTCATAACCCTCCATCCATCCATCCCCCATCCACCATCCATTTTCATCCATCCATCCATCCATCCATCCATCCATTATTTATCCATATCCCCCCATTATTTCCATCCATCCCCCTTATTCATCATCCCCTCCACATCCACCACCACCATCCATCCCTTATTTATCCATCCATCCATCCAATCCATCCCTCCCAAATTTATCCATCCATCCCCATTATTCATCCATCCATCCCTCATCCATCCTCCATCCATATTCTCCATCCCTCCCCCATCCCTTATTCTCCATCCATCCATCCATCCATCCATCCATCCATTATTTATCCTTTCCCTCCTCCATCCATCCATCCATCCCTCCATTATTACCATCCACCTCCATCCATTATTATCCCCCTCCATCATCCTTACCCTCCATCCATCCATCCATCTATCCATTATTCATCTTCCATCCTTATCCCTCCTTTTCCCTCCTTAATCCTCCCTCCACCCCCATTATTTACATCCATCCATATCCTCCATCCCTTATTATCCATCCCCATCCATCCATTTTCCATCCATCCATCACCCTCCATCCTTTTTCAATCCATTCCCCATCCATTACATCCATCCATATCATCCATCCATCCTTTCCCTCCATCCATTACTACCCTCCATCCATTTCCATCCCCATCCATCCATCCATTATTATCCAAACCATCCATCCATCATCCCTTATTCAAACCAACCCTCCATCCATCCATTATCCTTATTTATCCATCCATCCCCTCCCTCCATCCATTTTTCCATCCCCCCCCTCCATCACCTTTTTAACCATCCCCTTATCCATCCATCCATCCATCCATCCATCCATCCATTATTCATCCATCCATCCATTATCCATCCATCCATCCATCCACCATCCATCCATTATTCATCCATCCATCCATCCATCCATTATTCATCCATCCATCCATCATTCATCCATCCATCCATCCATCCATTATTCATCCATCCATCCATTATCCATCCATCCATCCATTATTCATCCATCCATCCATCCATTCATCCATTATTCATCCATCCATCCATCCATCATTCATCCATCCATCCATCCATCCATTATCCATCCATCCATCCACCATCCATCCATTATTCATCCATCCATCCATTATTCATCCATCCATCCATCCATCCATTATCCATCCATCCATCCATTATTCATCCATCCATCCATCCATTATTCATCCATCCATCCATCCATTATTCATCCATCCATTCATCCATTCATCCATTATTCATCCATCCATCCATTATTCATCCATCCATTATTCATCCATTCATCCATCCATCCATCCATTATTCATCCATCCATCCATCCACCATCCATTATTCATCCATCCATCCATCCACCATCCATTATTCATCCATCCATCCATCCATTATTCATCCATCCATCCATTATTCATCCATCCATCCATCCATTATTCATCCATCCATCCACCATCCATCCATTATTCATCCATCCATCCATCCATTATTCATCCATCCATCCATCCATCCATTATTCATCCATCCATCCATCCATCCATCCATTATTCATCCATCCATCCACCATCCATCCATTATTCATCCATCCATCCATCCATCCATTAATTATCCATCCATCCATCCACCATCCATCCATTATTCATCCATCCATCCATCCACCATCCATTATTCATCCATCCATCCATCCATGATTCATCTATCCATCCATCCATCCATCCATTCATCCATCCATCCATCCATCCATACATCCACCATCCATTATTCATCCATCCATCCATCCATTATTCATCCATCCATTCATCCATTCATCCATCCATCCATCCATCCATTATTCATCCATCCATCCATCCATTATTCATCCATCCATCCATCCATCCATACATCCACCATCCATTATTCATCCATCCATCCATCCATTATTCATCCATCCATTCATCCATTCATCCATCCATCCATCCATTATTCATCCGTCCATCCATCCATCCATCCATCCATCCATTATTCATCCATCCATCCATTATTCATCCATCCATCCATCCATCCATCCATCCATTATTCATCCATCCATCCATACATCCACCATCCATTATTCATCCATCCATCCATCCATTATTCATCCATCCATCCATCCATTATTCATCCGTCCATCCATCCATCCATCCATCCATCCATTATTCATCCATCCATCCCTTATTCATCCATCCATCCGTCCGTCCATTATTCATCCATCCATCCATCCATTATTCATCCATCCATCCATCCATCCATACATCCACCATCCATTATTCATCCATCCATCCATCCATTATTCATCCATCCATTCATCCATTCATCCATCCATCCATCCATTATTCATCCGTCCATCCATCCATCCATCCATCCATTATTCATCCATCCATCCATTATTCATCCGTCCGTCCGTCCGTCCGTCCATCCATCCATCCATCCATCCATCCATCCATTATTCATCCATCCATCCATCCATCCATCCATCCATTATTCATCCATCCATCCATACATCCACCATCCATTATTCATCCATCCATCCATCCATTATTCATCCATCCATCCATCCATTATTCATCCGTCCATCCATCCATCCATCCATCCATCCATCCATTATTCATCCATCCATCCATTATTCATCCATCCATCCGTCCGTCCATCCGTCCGTCCATCCATCCATCCATCAAGTGTGTCTGAGGAGCCACTTGCTGAAGGACATTTAACTCAACATTAGATGCTCTTTATGTGTTTATTCGATTTTAACCCCATTTCACAAACCTCTAAATATAGGAAGGTATTTTCTGTACTTTGACTCTGCAAATGTTACTGTTAGATGAACTGTTGACTGTTGTTCACACTCTGTTATCTGGAGATGAATAAGGATTAAATGTTTCCGTGTTCCTTCCAAGCTGAGGAAGTGATAGTGATTAATATGTAATCCCAGTTTCTCAGGATTTGCTTTTCTGAACCTTCATCCTTTGACCTTGTTTCCCAAACCCTCCTCAAACTGTTTACAGTGATGGCTCTTCATCTCGCGGACGTGTTCCCTGCTCTAAAATAATCTGACCCCGGCTCATTTTGCTTTCCATTAACTGATGGGCACTGGGGATGAGTAGCACCTCCACGCCAGTCAATATTATAAATCACTCTGGATTACTTTCAGCACTTAAGGAGAGGAGCGTGTGCTGCTGACACATTGATCAGTGAATCCATCTATTTCCTAAGCCTCTCCCAGTGTAATCCATCTGGCTGTGGTGCCTCAGACGTCCTCTCAGCCTCCTCTCAAACACCGACTTCAATATTTAGTGAAATTAGCTCAAACTGGGATTACACGCCGTGAACGCTGAATCCGTAGACATTCCTCTTCATTTGGTTTTATATTTTTAAATCGTTGGCAGCAGAAGGACATGCTGGGGAAGGAAATTCTCCACTTTATCAGGTGCTTTCAAGATTAGAAGAATTGAAAAGAGATGTTTTGGTGAATCATTAGTGAGTGTTGAGGATTACACTGTGTAGGCCTGGATTAGCTTTGTTTTCACAGACAAAGCCCTGGTGACGTTTTAACCCTGATTCGCTCAGATATTTCTCGGCCATGTTGACAGCGGCCGTCTCTGCCTAACGTCTTGTGACACGGCGATCGTCCAGAGCTTCACAGAAGGACAAACGCAGGGCCCCATCGCATGAATTCCTTTATTCTCTTTTTTCATGTATATTCATTCTTGAATGAATCTATTTTTTTTTTCATTCATCTGTTAAAAGAAAAGTCCGTTCATATTCAGAATTCAAACTTCTTTAGGGGGTCCCCGCTCCATCTCGCCATCAGTTTGGGGTCCTTCACTAAAAAATTTAGAAGAGCCCTGATCTAATGAGCTTCGTATTCCTCTTCTACTGGTTTGGCTTCCAGATAGACGAGTCCGAGTAGCGCCATACCACTACAGAGCTGAGTTCCACCTGGTTTTTACAGTGTCGTACAGTGAGAGCAAGTAGATCGCATCAGAGCGTCGGGTCGCACAGCGTGAGAACAAACATCGTGAGCTGTAAACTTTAAAAGTCGTAGAGAAGCGGTTGTTCCAACCATTGCATTTCTGAATTCTCCCAGTGGTGCCCGACTTTACACGAGTGAATAAAGTGAACGTGATTGGTCGATTATCAAGGGGGCGGGATTGTTGTGGTGGAAGCATCTTGCTAACCAGTTAGCAACTTAGTGCTAGCAGGTTCCCAATGGAATTTCCCATTCCCATTCAAGTAGCACTAAATTGGTGCCTTAGAAACGACGCTGTCAAGGAATGCTATGGACAGCGGAAACATGCAAGAGGAGGAGAGTTTAGTGTCGGAGGTCGTGGATGAGTCTCCTCCGTCATCCATTTTTTATTTAGAGGAGGAAAGCGGGGACGAAGATGTTGTGGAAGAGGACGCCAGGGCGGCAGAAGCTTGGTTTGGTGTAGAAGGCTTCCAGCCGTACATGTTTGAGCCCTTGCCTCGCAACGCTGCCAGTTCTGTTAGCTCTACGCCTGCCGAAGACACAGACGTCCATCCCCGTGAACACTGGGACGCAACTCAATGGGAAAGGAAAGGATTCTTATTTCAACCGTTGCGTATATTAGCTGCGACACATGAATCAAGATGCTATGACCGAAAAAATAAGATTCACAGATGAGTGTTGATATATGATTGGCCGAATTTAGGTGTTCATCCTGCAGAAGATAACGAAAAAAAACACAGATTTTAAGATAGCTTTTTTTTTTTATAGAAATTTTCTAAATTTTGGGACAGTATGGTCTGATAAAGAGTAAATTTATATACATTTTTAGGCCAAAATGATTTGACATTCCCTACGAATTTAAACCCTGCAATTTCGTCGTACAGCTAGAGCTGTAGCTGCGCGCAACGATTGTAAAAATCGTACAGAGTATACCCGGATGGAAAATTATTGAACAAATAAGAAATCCATAGCTTTATATCACGATATCACGGGGTGAATATGAACCATCAGAGCGTTGGATGGATGCATAGAACTGATCAATATGTGGATGCGCCATAAGAGATCCACAGTTAGCCCTCAGCTTCAGCTGCTACAGCAGGAAACCACTGATTATGGCCCAAATCTTTTTATTTGTCATTCACATGTGTTCCTGTGTGCCAAAACATTCATTTGATCTGGATCATGCTTCATGAAGCCCTCTTTCCTGAGGAAACGGGATGTGTGACCTGGATGGGGGAGTGTTGTCCTGTGAGTCACACATGTGCTGGCCATGTGTGGAAGACATTCAGCAGCTGTGCATGAAGCTCCGCCTGTCCTCCCAACAGGAAGCCATTATTTTCTCTCAGTGAGGTGACATTACTGGGTGACTCCTGATGAGTCTCTCTAGGCTGCAGCTGCCTTGTTGGAATGTAGTTTCCTGGAATATTTATGCTAAAGAAGGTGAAACGGATCAGAAACTGTAAAGGAACAAAAATTTTTTAGATTTTTGCCGTTTGTTAGGATTATTTTCTTCCCTAAACTTTGATTGAGAGACTCCAGATCAGCAGGAAACCATGACAGCAACGTTTATGAATGAGCTTGTTGTTCAGCGAGCGGTACGCTCTGTTTGTGACCGCTCTCCATCACTTTAATGACTACATCTGACGCCGTTTATTTGAAACAATCCCAAAGAAAAAAGTAGTTTTAAAAGATACTTTTTGAAATATCTGATTTTTGCATCTATTTGTTTTTTCTGGAAACCTTCATGAATAATTCTGCAAAACAGTTTTCTTCAAATTGAAAAATAGAGCATGAAGTTTGGACATAAATAGGTGGTTGTCCTTCTCTGAAATCAACAGTGGTGTCAAAAGTTCACACATTTGTTACTTAAGTAGAAGTATAGATACTGCAGTTTAAAAACACTCCGGTAAAAGTTGAAGTATCAACTTGACCTCTTTACTCAAGTAAAAATGAAAAACGATGTGCTCTAAAAAGATATAGATGCCGCTATATGAACTGAAAGCTCAATTTTTCAACTATTTCAACTATATTTCCTTTAGCTAACCAATGAGTGTTTGCGTTCTATGACTCATCCAATCACACTAGTTTTCACTAGATGTGGGCGGAGCCAATGGGAGCCAATTAGGGAGTTCCTTTCTATCTAAGGAAAACCAGCTGATTGCATCGACTCATTGACTCTTCAGCAATCCCTCACACTAAGCATGCTTGTAGCGACAGTGGAGAGGAAAAACTCCCTTTGAACAGGAATAAACCTCCAGCAGAACCAGGCTCAGTGTGAGCGGCCATCTGCTGAGGCCCACTGGGGTTCAAGGAGACAGAAGCAGACATAGAAAGAGAAGCATAGATACAAAAAGCAGCTGTAAAACGTGGACCCATCCAGGAAAGACACAGCCAGGCAGACGAGCTCCGAGCCAGCTCCCATGTTGGAGGATGAAGAGAGCACATCCAGTTAGTCACAGTCAGAGAAACAGGACTACACTGGAAAACAGGCCAAGCTCCAACATCTAGAAACAAAGGTGTTGATGGCAGCAGCACAGCTGATATTTCTTTCCAGGATGGAGTCACAGCCAAACAGGAACAGACCAGATGAAGCTACTATGAGAAAAAGCAGAGAGAGCAGAACGTTAGAGATTGAACTAACAAATTCTGCAGAGTGGGAGAATAGAGATAGAATGAAGCAGAATGATGAAATGGGGGTCCCTATGTCCTCCAGCAGTCTAAGCCTATAGCAGCAGAACTATAGAGATAGCTCAGGATAACCTGAGCCACTCTAACTAGAAGCTTTATCAAAAAGGAAGGTTTTAAGCCTAGCCTTAAAAGTAGACAGGGTGTCTGCCTCACGGACTAAAACTGGTAGTTGGTTCCACAGGAGAGGAGCCTGAGAACTAAAAGATCTGCCTCCCATTCTACTTTTAGAAATTCTAGGAACCACTAGTAAACCTGCAGATTGAGAGCGAAGTGCTCTGTTAGGAACATAAGGAACAATCAGATCTCTGATATCAGATGGAGCTTGGCCATTTAAGGCTTTATATGTGAGAAGGAGGATTTTAAATTCTATTTTGGATTTAACAGGAAGCCAAAGAAGAGGAGCCAGGATAGGAGAGATATGATCTCTCTTTTTCATTTTCATCAGCCCTTTTCAGGCAGATTTTGATCAGTCTTTGTTGTTTGCAGGTGGGAGGCTCTAAGATGGGTGTGATCCGATACATGGGGGAAACTGACTTCGCTAAGGGGGAATGGTGTGGAGTGGAGCTGGATGAGCCCCTGGGAAAGAACGACGGAGCAGTTGCTGGTACAAGGTATGCTCACGCTGTACTGCGCATGCCAGTGATGGTGCACAATTAGGAGTGGAAAAAAAATCTTTTTTACAATACAATATCGAACTTTTAGATCCTAGTATCGATCTTAAATGAATGAATGATTACTTTATTTCAGTTTAAAAACAAAAAAATAAATTATATTTTTTACAAAAGATTCAGGCAACCGAAAAAGGAATAGTTTATTTTTGCCTATCCTGTTCCATCATAACAATAATGCGCAATAAAACATTGTTACTAATACATAATTACTAAACACATAACTTTCATTGTAAGCTTTTATAATTTTAGATTTTAAACTGAAGATTGTTTTCTACCTTTGGCTGCTTTAGATCACCAATGAAACGTCAAATAATAGCAAATATGGCTAATAAATATGTGGAGACTCCAGAAGAGATCCGATTCTTAAGAAACAGGTGCGATACAGTTTGTCCGATTGGGGTTGCCATATGATGACGTCATAAGAAGGGGCGGGGCTCTGAGCAGATGTGGTACCTACATCAGCACCCCCAACATTATGGTCTGGGCATCTGAAAGAAAAAACTGAAGGAAATGTTGGCAGGATGTAAAAGTATAGAGATTGCTGCTCTGCTATCAAACTAACAAATGTCCCGTTCTCCTCCTCTTTCCTGCAGATACTTCCAGTGCCTTCCTAAGTTCGGCCTCTTTGCACCCATCCACAAGGTGATCCGCATCGGCTTTCCCTCCACCAGCCCGGCCAAGGCCAAGAAGAGCAAACGGGTGGCCATGGGGGTGTCCTCTCTGGCCCACAGCCCCAGCAGCTCCTCCATCAGTTCAGTCAGCTCGGTGGCCTCCTCTGTGGGCGGACGCCCGAGCCGAGCTGGACTGGTAAGACGGCTGCAGTGTGCTCCAGGCTCAGGCTGAGAGCAGACGGGCTGCTTCAGCATGATTGGCTGAACAGTTTAAAGGGTCCGGTAGATGTTTGGTGATGTCATTGTGCAGCGGTTCGATGAGCAGATCGCATTTATCTAGTTTTGGTCGTGTTTTGAAGATGAAAGCATCAACTGCTTCATTAAAGCACAATTTCCTGCCTGTATGAGGCTTGAATGCTTATCTGTGATGGTATGGTTCCCATAGCGACCAGTGACTCAGCATTTTCAGTGTTTCTTGTTAGTTATAGAGCATTTCTCGATAAAGATCATTAGATTCTGTTCCAACATGACTTACAGGCACAGGCGTAACTTTCTGAAGGACTAGCGGGGGACAGTCCCCACCAATGATCTCCGCTAACAGAGGTTGGGTGCAGTTATCCGTGTTTTCTTTCCCTTTCTCCCGCTGCTCCCGTGTCCCGCCTCTCGGTGTTACATCATCGGATCTGTCGCTTTGACACATCCGATTTGTCGTTGCATTTCACTGCGTACAGAGTGGCTACATAGATGAGGGAGAGACACAGCAGCACCCAGAGAATTTAACCGGCAGCTACTTTGATATATGATTAAAGTCGTAGGGAAGTCATATTTAAATGTCAAATCATTCTGGCTTAAACATGTATATAAATGTCAGCCTGAACACCTAAATTCGGCCAATCATATATCAACCGTCATCTGTCAATCAAATTTTTTTATACGCAACGGTTGAAAACAGAATCCTTTCCTTTCCCATTGAGTTGCGTCCCAGTGTTCACGGGGATGGACGTCTGTGTCTTCGGCAGGCGTAGAGCTAACAGAACTGGCAGCGTTGCGAGGCAAGGGCTCAAACATGTACGGCTGGAAGCCTTCTACACCAAACCAAGCTTCTGCCGCCCTGGCGTCCTCTTCCACAACATCTTCGTCCCCGCTTTCCTCCTCTAAATAAAAAATGGATGACGGAGGAGACTCATCCACGACCTCCGACACTAAACTCTCCTCCTCTTGCATGTTTCCGCTGTCCATAGCGTTCCTTGACTGCGTCGTTTCTAAGGCACCAATTTATGTTTCCATTAGGAACCTTCGGTCGTCCAATTTGAACTTGCTGACGGTTCCTCAGACCCATTTTAAGACCAGAGGAGACAGATCTTTTAAAGCTGTGGCGCCTCGCCTCTGGAATGAGCTACCTTTTACCATTTGTTCTCTTGTTTGTATAGACACTTTTAAGAAACAACTAAAGACCCACTTTTTTAAACTTGTTTTTTAGTTTAATACTGTGTTTACTGTTTTTGTATGTTGTTTTAATTTATAGAAACCTTTTTATAAATTTGTGCAGCACTTTGTGACCCTGGTCTGTGAAAAGTGCTATAGAAATAAAGTTTACTTACTTACTTACTTACTAGTGCTACTTGGTCCCAATGGAATTTCCCACTGGGAACCTGCTAGCACTAAGTTGCTAACTGGTTAGCAGGATGCTTCAGAGACACCGGCCACAACCAAACTTGCTTGTGAACCTTCCGCCACAACAATTCCGCCCCCTTGATAAACGACCAATCACATTTACTTTATTAACTCAGTAAAGTAAAGTCGGCACCACTCGGAAGAATTCGGAAATTAAACTGTTGGAACAGCTGCTTCCCTACGACTTTAAAAGTTTACAGCTCACGATGTTTGTTCTCATGCTGTGCGACCCGACACTCTGATGCGATCTACCTGCTCACACTGCACGTCTAAAAACCAGGTGGGACTCAGCTCCGCAGTGAGATGGCGCTACTCGGACTCGTCTATCTGGAAGCCAAACAAAAAGAAGAGGAACATGAAGCTCACTAGAACTGTTCATTAGAATTGCTACTTGGTCCCAATGGAATTTCCCATTGGGAACCTGCTAGCACTAAGTTGCTAACTGGTTAGCAAGATGCTTCCGACAAACCGGTTACAATCAGACGTGCTTGTAAACCTTCTGTCACAACAATCCGCCCCCTTGATAATCGACCAATCACATTCACTTCATTCACTGGTGTAAAGTCGGGCACCACTCAGAGAATTCAGAAATCTCAATGGGATTTTGGCCTCGGAATCCGCTGTTATTCGTTATTTTTGTATACATTAATGTTTTTGGGCCATATATATATATATATATATATATATATATATATATGTATCAACAATAGGAAAGCATTCAATAAATATATGTTTGAGCTTATTTTTGAAAAATACAAAAATTTTCGAGTGGAGTTACTGTGTTCCCACCAATTACAAAGAGCCACCCTTGCCTACAGGGATCCTCTTATCTAACTGCAGACGTAGTAAATATAGACAGTGGATTTTGCTGAGAAAACACGTGTAAAATAAAATAGAGGAATAGATGAATTGATTCAAGTTTAGCTTTACTCTGTGAAACTAGTTCATTTATTTTAATCATGCTTAATAAATGTGCTCATCTCAGAGGCTCTGTGTCGTAAAGGCTTAGATCCTGGCAGCAGACGAGGCATCGGAGTATCTCACATTGATTTTAGCTTCTGGTTACAAGCCAGCGCTTGGATGGAGAACACTCCCTTCTACTTTCCTTAATTGTTGGCAGCGCCGTGAGACGGCAAAGAAAGCAGGCTCTATGATTATCTGGCTGATCACCCTGCAGCAGATACTCTAAAGGCGCAATGTTTGGTCCGTCACGGTTTCATTCAGGACTAAAGAGCAGCGGTTTATTTATTAAATGCATGTCTGATGTGTAGGAACAGAAATATAGAGCCTACAACAAGAATCTTTGGATATATATTCTGCTTTTTCTAGAAATGAAATATCTCTAAAAGTATTTGTATTATTTGTTTTTTAGCTAATCCTTCCAACATCACCTTATTATCTGTGTTTAATTCTGTTCAAGTTAAACTTGCAGAGTTGGAAGAGAGCCTCAGACATTGAAAGGTTTGAAAAGAGGTCCCTCTAGAGGACAAAATATATATTGCAGTTTACAATATCCTCAAACAGGAAATTTAAAGTCTCTTTTAAAGATTTTCAGTTTTGATATTAATAATGATAATAATAGACAATTTAATTTGTTTTACAGAAGAGACATAATAACTTTTTAATGAAATCCTGACAGATAAACTGAGAAAGTTTATTTTCTGACGTTTTTGTCACTTGCTTTTCAGTACGATACTTTGCTATTTTGGTAAATCCACTCATAGTCACTTAATACTTCCTGGACTTTGAAGAAGTGTTTTCATCCTGCTCTATAGTCACAGTTTTGAGCAGTTCTCTTGCAGACGAGTAGCTTCCTTTACATCTCACCTCTCTGTGTGCTTTCATGAGTTCCTCCCAACTGCTGCCAGAGAGAGCAAGCTCTGCAGCACAGGCCACATGATTCCCTGGCCTCCCCATGATGACTTTAGCTGGTATTTTTCTGTAGCATATAAATGAAGACGTGTGGAAAAATCAGGAAACACTGTAGAATATTTTATACTTTAAAAAGAAAAGTTCACTTCTGAACAAGTGATTTAACTACAGATAAAACCCAAAAAAGAGAACCTTGTTCTATTCATCAGAATAGGATTTATTATCATCACATTGTCACAAGTACAGAGCAACGAAATTCACTTTCACTGCTTTTTTTTTTACACATTGAATTCCTTAAACTGGATTTTTATTTGGTCAAAATTCAGCTGCAGATAATTTGGCTGCAAATGTGTTGACCTTTTGGTGAACTCAAGCCGAAGCAATCAACACTCGATGCAGCCGAGCAGCTTCTAGCCGACGCGTCACTGCGGTTAATGTTAGTTGTTAAACTCATTTCTTTCAAATCTAAAACATTTTCTGCAATAGAATAATAGAATTTCGTTTTTTTTTTTGACTCCGTTTCCATAAACATCACATCAAAAAGTTAGTTTTTTTTCCATGTCATGAATGTCTCTTTTGTTTTTTTTAACAACTGCAAACTTTAAATAAGTATTTCGGCAGCCGAATCCCAGGGAGCTGATAGAGCAGTTGCTTTTCTTCCCTCTAACCTTCGATCGGTGCTTCCTCTTCCGTCTCCCTTTTAGCTGACGGAGACGTCGTCCCGCTACGCCCGTAAAATCTCGGGCACCACGGCGCTCCAGGAGGCCCTGAAGGAGAAGCAGCAGCACATTGAGCAGCTGCTGGCCGAAAGGGACCTGGAGCGAGCTGAGGTTGCCAAGGCAACCAGCCACATCTGCGAGGTGGAGAAGGAACTGAGCGTCCTCAAAGCGCAACATGTACAGGTATGAAAACAGCCAATGACCAGAGCGGAGGTTCAGGTGTGTTTGAGCCAGCGACCTGAAGCAGTCGTCCTCTTTGTGTCCACAGTATGTCGCTGAAAACGAGAGCGCCATGCAGCAGGTCCAAACCATGCTGGCCAACACACAGAAAGACAAGCTGGAGCTGGTTAATCAGCTGGAAGAGGAGAAGAGGTGATGCATTCACTTACCTTCTGTGTCCCAAACTAAGAGATTTAAAAGATTCATCAGAATTGATCCATTTTTGGTCCAGTTCACAGCGAGCTCAGCTATCTTTGGAAGGTTTGCTGTTAAGACGAAAAAAAAACTAGGGGGGCACCGATAAATCGGCCCAGATTTCCTTAATTTAGGGTGATTGGTGATCGGCCGATATTTACATATGAAACCGATCTTAACCACCGATCTATTTACCTCCGCGAGTGTCTTAAAATCAGTTGCTATTCCATATTTTTTCTGATCTTTTGTTGAAGTTTTGTTTTTTGAAATGTAAAAAAATCAAAAGACCAATGTTGTAGTCTTAAGTTTGTTTTATTTAATATTTATTATTTAATTCATTTCTATGTCAAGGCTCTACCTCATGGGCAGTTAAAACAAGTTTATAATGGTTCAAGGCTATTGTTCAAGGGCATGTTTTTCAAGAAAAGATTGTAACATTGACAGTGAATTGCGATCTTGTAACACAGCGTTGGTTATAGCAAAAAAAATGATAAAATCGGTATTAACCAAAAATCGGAATCGGTAGGTCAGACTTTATAAAGATCGGTGATCGGAAATCGGCCGGAAAACTGCAATCGGTGCACCCCTAAAAAAAACCCAAAACAAGTAAAAAGAAAAACTAATAACAATATAGAAACACCAGTAAGGAGTTTATACCAGGAAACACCTTCTACTCTCTGGGAAGCCATGATGGATTTGTGAAATAGATTTATTGCTGAGATCTTTTTGGTTTCCTCTGCTAAATTTATTCCTTTTTACATTAAAATAAACCCTCTGGGTTTTTTTTTACAAATTTTATTTTGTCGTTTCTTATCAAACCTCATGTGGTCCTAATAGTAGCTGTTAGCCGTCAGACATTTTCTTCCAAAAAGGCCAATTTACAGATATTTCTTGCCTCCTTTGATAGCCAATGACTTTAATGCTTTTCTATAATCTTCTAAAAAGCATTTCTGTTCAAACTAATCATAAACCATAAATTAGCAATAATCTCTAGTCTAGGGATGCACGATATAATCGGCCCCCTATCGGTATCGGCCTTAAAACTGAATATCGGACATCGGCCACCCCACCGATATTTAACCCGATATTTGATCAGCTTCTGAGTTTCTAAAGTCTAAAAAAATAAATAAAAAATAATACTTCTTCTTCTTCCTCAAAAACTTCTTTTTTACAGACTTAAAAACTTCTAAAGACGAGGGAAAAAATATTGATCCATTAAAATATCACAATATCTTCATATGCTGATATATTGCCATTTAAAAACACCATATCAATCTCTTTTACTAATGAAATATTGCTATATGTCATCGTTATGCTACGAAATCCCCCGAAAATTCACCAAATGTTGCCATATTTTTATATGTTGATATATTGACGCGGTATCGATCTATTTTACTAACAAAATCTCACAAGAATTTGCAAAATATCACGAGAGTTTGTAACAGAACGATGAAATTTCACCAGATTTTGAAAGTAAAATAGATCGATACCGCGTTTTTAAAAATCGATTTGATATTAGCATATGAAAATATATGTGAGTATATTATTTTTCAAAGTGTCAGAAATGGATAACAAAACTGCTATTTTCAATGACTGCTTATTTTTGTCCAGCTTTAACATCGGTATCGATGTCGGTTATCGGCTACATGAGTTTTAAAATATCGGCATATCGGATATCGGCCAAAATCCCAATATCCTGCATCCCTACTCTGGTCTGTTACTGACCTTTTTGGTTATATAATTGCGAAGGACAAAGGACGCTCCAGGTTGATCATCTGTTTACATGATGAAGGAGGGACAAAGACAATTATTTAATTTAAATATCCTGCTAAACATCAGCTAGCGTTTAGCTGATGCTAACCCTCTGATGACCGTGGCGTTTTCCTGCTCTGGTTGATAGAGGGAGATTCTCAGCTCTCTGACCTTTCTGGCTTAGTTGTTCAGCCTCTGTTTTATTTACAGACACACAATAAATGCGGGATTAAGCCTGTTTTATTTTTTCTTAAAAAAAAAAAAAATAATGAAAAAGTTGCAGTCATGTTCAGTTTCAGACGCACCCAGCTGGTTTCATCATTAATGATGTGATTCTCCTCCGACATTGAGGAGGATTAACTAAGTAGTTGAATCCAGCAGATCTTATTTTATTCAACAGGTTAATTTTCTACAGTTAATTTGAACTATTCAGGTAAAAATCTTTACAAAAAAAAATGAGAGGGGGGGAAAGCTGGGTCACGGTATCAGACACCTTCTCCCTCTCTCCTCTTTCTCCTTCCTTTTTGAAACCCAGACTCTGGAGCGCTGCTGTTTTCAGCTGGGGATTTTTTTTCGCACTCTGCTGCTTATTTACACATTTTCTTTGTAATTAGTTTCTTTCGTTATCGCTGCATCAAATGACGCACGTGTTGCATTTAAGCTCAGGTACGAGGGAACTGCAGGTTACAGACGGGGAGACCTGATGCGATGCAGGAGCTGAGGACCAAACCGTTTATTGCTATTTCACTTTGGGAGGGGGGGTTTCATTATATTCATGCTTTGTTTCACGGTTTACTGCTGAAAAATGAGGGAGAACATGAATATTATTTATTTTACTGCTGGATTTTCTTTTTATATTTGAAAAATATAGCGGTACAAATCTTTTCTTCGTCTTTTGGGCCCTAAGAATCCTCCTAACTCCCTATTTATCTTCATAATTCTTCTAAACAAATAGTTAGAAATAAATAATACATAGTAATTGTGAACCGTTAGGAAACAATGTTTGTTTTTCAATGGAAATTAAAAGTGACGGCGTCTGTGAGCACCTCTCTGATGATTTCCAGTTCTTGTCTTTGTATCAACCAGACTTCTATGGTTGTAAGTTGCTCTATAAATTCCCTATATCTGTAAAAAAAGATCAGTTGATTGTTGTGCATTGTTCTTCAGAGCAGTGCTGAATATATTTATCATTGGCTTCCCATTATAATGAGCATATTTTCCGATTTATACAGGAAAGTGGAGGACCTCCAGTTTCGTGTGGAAGAGGAATCCATAACCAAAGGAGACCTGGAGGTAATTAACAGCTGGAAATAGCCGTGTAACTGATAAATGCTCGGTTTAGCTTTTAAATAAATGACAATCTATGTGCATAATGTGAGGATCACGTCTGTGGACCAGATAATTAAGATATATTTAACAAACATTTTGCAGGAGTTCAGCTGGGCTCAGATTAGTTCAATCTTAGATAGATGTATGGACTAGATATAGAGCTGGCTGACAGCTTAAATGGTTTTTAAAACATTTAAGATACACCTGAACTCATAATTGAAAGAGTCATTCATTCAGGATAAAAACACTGTTGAATCCACTGCTATAATGATCGCCATCACTTATATATTTTTGCACATGACATTAGAAAAACGACAGAGACAGATAATAGACTAAATAAGTTGATTTGAAGGTGATTCTCTCAGAACCTTCCTCAGGATGTTTTCTTCTCTTAGACGATAAACTCCTCAAAACTTGAACTTGCTAGTCAGACCCAAGAAAAACTATTTTACCTTGAATTCTCTTTTTTTTTAGTTTGACAACAGAATAGATTAATCATTATATTCATTGAAATGTCTTAATTTTTTTTAAAATTGTTTACAGAATAAAAAGAAACAGACCAACATTGATGTTAATAACTTAGAGGAGGTCCAGGACATGGCAAGCAGGGATATATATTTAGCTAGATAAGGCTGTTAGCCGCTATAACTGTGTGTTATGTAAAAAAAAAAAACAATAACACACTATTATAATGAGGAACGAGCATGTAGCAGTATTATTTTTCATCTTATTAAAAAACGTTTCTCCAATCATAAATGAGATATATATATACATTCACACACTCTCTAGACATAAATTAATTAGAAATGTTGGGAATTTTGCTGTTTATTTTTGACAGGTATACCATACAAGCAATATACTGCAAAAAAGAATCTAGAAATAAGTTAAAAAAAATCTTAAATTAAGTATATTTACCCTTAATTTAACTAAGTAATTAAGTTGACTTGCCAATAGAAGTTATATATTTACTCTTAAAATAAGATAATTAGATAAAATGCACTTGAAATGAGACAATGCCATTGCTTATGCATGTTTTAAATGTAAACTGTCTCGTTTTTTTTGGCAAAGTGTCTCACTTACCTCCTAAATTCAAGAAAAATGCACTTATTTTAAGAAAAGCTTTGCCAGTGTATAGATGCTGCCAGTTGTGTTTAACAGCCGTAGTTCACTAGTTGTTTATTTGATCATGTTTGTTGGTCTCTGGCCTTGGTGCTGAAATGTGTAACTGTAGGTTAATGTGAGTCTATCTTCACACCAGCCGCCCTGTCCTGGATGGCTCAGATATCGGACCAACGGCTCTGCTCTGACCTGCTTGATTAACAATCCATCCAGTCAGTCAGTTAAACTCATTTTGCTTATGTCCACCCAGTCTCCCCCTCCTTTGGGGTTGAAGCTCTCTGTGTCTCTCTGAGAGGAAGGAAATGTTGAAAACACCTGCAGGTCCTGACACCACTGGGCTGTCTGAAGGACATTAATCCAGAACTCTTGTGGTTCATCCAGATGTTGTTTCTCAGCAGAAGTGATGCCAAATAATTTCTTTAGAGGATAGACTCTGCTTTTTACCCTCGCCAGCAAGATATATTTGTCTTTTTTCTATCTTTTCTGTCACTGTCGTCAACCTGTCCCTTATTAACAGCAGCATGTAGATCATAAACTGGAGCTTTTGGATTTTCTTTTTTTTTTCTTTGGTAACTTTTTACAATCTGACCTTGGTGTTGAGATGCTTAGGAAATTCACTCCTGGAGTTTTTGGCTGCTGCCTAAAATAGTTTGCACTAGTGAATAATGGTTCTCACTGTAGAACTGTAGAGATGGCCTAATAACACTTTCCAGATCGATGGAGAGACACCCTACTGCAGGGGCAGAGTACCGCCATGTTTACAAACTGTACTGGAACTCTGGAAGTCGCTTCATTTCCAAATTTTTTTAATATAGTTGCTTATTTTTGTTTATTTATTTTATTTCAAAGCTTACAACAATTAAAACTTTAAATTTATATGCTAATTTCAATCTTTTTTGCTGTTTTTAAAGTTGCTTTGAAGGCTGTTCTTTGTTTACTTAATCGTCTGTGTGTTTAACAGGATCTGACTGTCAAAAATAAAGAAATAATGCTGGGAGTTTTGGAGGCAACCTGAACCAAAGATTAGTGGATCTTAGATTCAGACCCTTAGATTTATCCCCTCTGCATAGGGGTAACCTTTATGCACACATTGGTGGATAAAATACTAAACCTAAGGTCTGTGGATTTAATAAGATCATAAATTTCCTGTTGGGACCCAGATCCAGTGTTCTGTCAGAGCAGCAAACCAATAGTTAATACACATGCGCAAGATTTGCGTTTATCCCTTTAGGTTTGTAAGAAAAATACATTTCTAAACTACCTCAATAGGCATGTATCTACGACAGAGCATTAGGGCCAGGCTAGAGATTATTTTTTTTTTCTATTTCGAGAATGAATTCGTAATATTTAAAGTTGCAACGCGAATAGTCATAATTACGAGAATATAGTCATCATATGATGAGAATAAAGTCGTAACACTACGAGAATAAAGTTATAATGAGAATATTAATAATATTAAGAGAACAAAGTCCTAAAACAAAATTACAAAAAACAAGTTGTATTTTATGACAACTCTTCCAAGAAGCCCTTTCTTCCCTAAAATGAGGAATGTGGGAGCATCATGGGAAGTTCTACTTTAGCATCGGTTTGACAAATCAGGAAATCTTTTAGCAGCAGCATCAAACTGGGCAGGATGTCAAAGTGGACTCTGGTTGCTGATTGGTGGAGCTGGTCGGCCGTCATCTGGTGAGCGGAGCTCCAAGCTTTCTTCTGAAACGGGTTGCTGGACGATGACATCATTCTCGTAATGTTACGACTTTATTCTCAAAATAGAAAAAATAAAAAAATCTCTAGCCTGGCCCTAATACTCCGTCGTAGTGTATTCCTTTAGTTATGTACAAAAAAAAAAAACAATTAAAGGTCAGATTGCCATACAAGTAACTTGACTTGTTTTTTTTTTGTACATGACTAAAGGGATATAGCCTCGTGAGACCATCCTGATCTCGCGAGCTTTCAAGGTTTCACTCGCAGATCAGTCTGGAGACTCTCCGTTAAAGAAAATTTGGAGCCGTTCACCAAACGAACGTCCAATCAGCGTTGGCTTTGAGGCGGGTTGAGGTGTGACGCAACGAGAAGCGCGACAGTTCAGTCTAAAGAACATGGCGGCTTCAGCCGATGAAACTAGCGTTAGTGTGGCTATCGAGCAAGTTTTATGGGAATTACAGAGTATTTCTTCACTGAAAGAAGAGCAAAACACTGATCTGGAGGCTTTTCTTAGAGGAAAAGATGTTTTTGCTCTTCTCCAGACTGGTTTCAGCAAGAGTTTGATCTATCAATTGGCTCCTCTTCGTCGTCGCTCTGTTAGTACGTCATATGCTTCGTTGATCTGATTGGTTTATTTGGCCCGTCTATCACACACATAGGCCAATCAGCTAACCAGTATTTTCGCCCCTTCCCAAAATTACTTCAACGGAAGGTTTCCAGATGGATATGCGGAGCAAATCCTTCTGGCGGAGTCAGGTTAAAAGGGATACACTCCGGTTGAGGTCATTTAAAGTTTCTTTTTCCTACAAAACTAAAGCGATAAACATCTATGACTATGTGTTTGCTGGTCTGACATATCACCACCAATTCCATTGGACTCATGATGGCAGCATCCTGCCACTCTTGGTTAAGAAAAATCTTATCTAATGGTGTCTTCTGTTTTTCACAGGGAGACTGTATTTTTCTTTTTTTTTTTCTTTTTTATTTGCATACTGCATTTCTGTTTAGGCTTCAGGGTTGTTTGCTGAATAGCGCTAATAGAAGCATGGTTGGATTTTTGTTTAATCTGAGTCACTTTGAGTGAATCAAACACACCAGACTAATTTCTCTTGTGCTTAAACACTTTTTTTTTTTATTGTTTTACATTTTTTATTTTTTATTTTAATCTTGTGTCAAAATTTACAGCCTACATCAGTTCATCCGTGTCACAGTTTCAGGACAATCACTAAGAGGAAATGTCAATACATGAAATCTCAAATATTTGTTTTAATATTAATGGTAAAGTTCTCACATCAATGTATCCTTAAAGTAAATATTTAATTTTCTTTTGGGAATGAGGTTTTCAAAGATTAAATCATTAAGGAGGCAGGACTGGCATCTCTTTTGTAATAATTGCTTAAAAAATGGCGTGGGTTGTATAAAATGCTGCAGGAATAAAACCCAGCCTGGAATGATCTTCAGCTTCACTCTGATCATCTGCTGCCACTTCTTATTCCTCTCTGATCTCTCTTCGTCTTTTTTCCTTCAGCCTTTTCTTTTTTCTTTCTTTTTTTTTTCTCTTTTTGTTTTTTTCTGTAGACTCAGAAGAAATTGGAACATGCCCACATTCGTCAGCTTGAGCAGAGCCTGCTGCTCGAAAAATCGAGAGCAGAGGCGCTTCAGAAAGAATTAGAGAGGCGAAGGGTAAAAAGCATGAGCCCGCTGCCTGTGCTTACTGTCCTCTGTCTTTCTGCTTTTTTGTCACAAGCTTTTAGAATAAGCTGCACTGCAGTCATCTTGTCTGCCTTTGTGCTTAAGTTTTAATTTAATCTCTAGAAATTTAACTGCCGTGTTTTCCAGATTATAGGGTGCACTTCACTATAAGCTGCCGCTCTGCTGTACAAACCGCTGATCTACTGAAGTGTTTCCCACCAAACCTGTAGGGGGAGCTCTACATATACCTCCTGGAGTAGGGAGGAAGAAGAATGCTAGCTCCCGTTAGCTTGTTGGTGTCACCATAGAGATAGGCTTTTTCTCAATCTGTGTACTTGTGCATTCTCGTGTGTTCGTGAAACATCATCAACCTCAGCCCTTGCATAAGAATAGCAGACTGAGAACGGACGGACAAAGTCCCCGGATGTTGTTCTAGCCCCTCCCTCTTTACCCAGCATGCATCAGAGCAGACTTGTCCGTTCTCCAGACTAACAGCTGTCCCAGCATGCACTGCAGCAGCAGTAGGTTCCAGGTTAGAGCTCACAGCGCTCAGAGTATTAAGTTAAAAGTTCTCTTTTCTGTTGCTGTTGTTCAATTAAGTACGTTTTTAAGATCGCTATGCTAACTATGTAAGGGCAGTGATAGCCATGCTAACTTTGTAGGGGCAGTGATAGCCATGCTAACAATGTAGGGGCAGTGATAGCCATGCTAACTATGTAGGGGCAGTGATAGCCATGCTAACTGTGTAGGGACAGTGATAGCCATGCTAACTCTGTAGGGGCAGTGATAGCCATGCTAACTATGTAGTTGCAGTGATAGCCATGCCAAATAAGTAGGGACAGTGATAGCCATGCTAACTATGTAGGGGCAGTGATAGCCATGCTAACTCTGTAGGGGCAGTGATAGCCATGCTAACTATGTAGTTGCAGTGATAGCCATGCTAACTGTGTAGGGACAGTGATAGCCATGCTAACTATGTAGGGGCAGTGATAGCCATGCTAACTCTGTAGGGGCAGTGATAGCCATGCTAACTATGTAGTTGCAGTGATAGCCATGCCAACTATGTAGGGGCAGTGATAGCCATGCTAACTATGTAGGGGCAGCGATAGCCATGCTAACTATGTAGGGGCAGTGATAGCCATGCTAACTATGTAGTTGCAGTGATAGCCATGCTAACTATGTAGGGGCAGTGATAGCCATGCTAACTCTGTAGGGGCAGTGATAGCCATGCTAACTCTGTAGGGGCAGTGATAGCCATGCTAACTATGTAGGGGCAGCGATAGCCATGCTAACTCTGTAGGGGCAGTGATAGTCATGCTAACTATGTAGGGGCAGCGATAGCCATGCTAACTCTGTAGGGGCAGTGATAGTCATGCTAACTATGTAGGGGCAGTGATAGCCATGCTAACTCTGTAGGGGAAGTGATAGCCATGCTAACTGTAGGGGCAGTGATAGCCATGCTAACTATGTAGGGGCAGTGATAGTCATGCTAACTATGTAGGGGCAGTGATAGCCATGCTAACTCTGTAGGGGCAGTGATAGCCATGCTAACTATGTAGGGGCAGTGATATCCATGCTAACTATGTAGGGGCAGATATAGACATGCTAACTCTGTAGGGGCAGTGACTATGTAGGGGCAGTGATAGCCATGCTAACTATGTAGGGGCAGTGATAGACATGCTAACTCTGTAGGGGCAGTGATAGCCATGCTAACTATGTAGGGGCAGCGATAGCCATGCTAACTCTGTAGGGGCAGTGATAGTCATGCTAACTATGTAGGGGCAGTGATAGCCATGCTAACTCTGTAGGGGCAGTGATAGCCATGCTAACTATGTAGGGGCAGTGATAGCCATGCTAACTCTGTAGGGGCAGTGATAGCCATGCTAACTATGTAGGGGCAGCGATAGCCATGCTAACTCTGTAGGGGCAGTGATAGTCATGCTAACTATGTAGGGGCAGTGATAGCCATGCTAACTCTGTAGGGGCAGTGATAGTCATGCTAACTATGTAGGGGCAGTGATAGCCATGCTAACTCTGTAGGGGAAGTGATAGCCATGCTAACTCTGTAGGGGCAGTGATAGCCATGCTAACTATGTAGGGGCAGTGATAGTCATGCTAACTATGTAGGGGCAGTGATAGCCATGCTAACTCTGTAGGGGCAGTGATAGCCATGCTAACTATGTAGGGGCAGTGATAGCCATGCTAACTATGTAGGGGCAGTGATAGCCATGCTAACTCTGTAGGGGCAGTGATAGCCATGCTAACTATGTAGGGGCAGTGATAGCCATGCTAACTATGTAGGGGCAGTGATAGCCATGCTAACTATGTAGGGGCAGTGATAGCCATGCTAACTATGTAGGGGCAGTGATAGCCATGCTAACTATGTAGGGGCAGTGATAGCCATGCCAGTCCAGGGACTGACTGCAGTTCTACTGTAAGCTGTCTTGGTCAAGGTCAATGACCACCGTACCTGACATGGAACAACCAGACCATGGATATTGCTTTAGGTTAATAGAATATAATCATTAGGCTATTTATGCTTTTTTTTTTTTACAGCTAGACTACTGTGCGTCACCTTGTAAATGTATTAGTCTGAGTTGTTAATAAAGTGCAGAAAATGGTTCAGATAATGTGCAGACATGATGTGAAAGAGAGAACTAAAAGCAGAATGTGAGGCTGGAATGAAAGTTGGTATCAGTCCACTAAAAGGATGCGTTCAGAATTAGCCTGTGCTGCATGAGAGCCTTTACGCCTATGGACGTCCACCATGACAGTGAAGCTGATGGAGCTTTTTACCGCCAAGATAAAAGGGATTTTAGCACCAACTATTACCATTAGCAGCAATTCAGTTTCCTACAATCAGTTTCCTAGAGGAGGTAAATCCAGCTACAGCTCACTTTTTATAGACTCAGATTTAACCTTTTAATCTCACAAAACACAACAAATATTGTAAGGCTGTTTCCAGAAAATTAAATCTTTTATTTATTTCCGTAATTCACTTTATATTCCATATTTGATGAGTTCCTCTGTAATTTCAACAGAAATAGCTTAAAAAATGCTTAGAAAAGAAAGTTACACGGTCACTTTTAAAAGGCTGACAACTTCATTGTTTGCAAATCCATCTTTTTGTAGTTCAGTCATTTAATTAAAAAGCTTATTTAGTTTGCGGCTAAACTTTGACTACACGTACAGAGAGATAGAGATCACATGGCATGCAGCGCCTCGGTGAGCTGCACTGCGACTCTCAGTCAGGGTCTCATTAATAATAAATGTGGAGTCTCTCCATATACGTTATTTTTATTTTTCTTAAGGCTTCAAAGATAACTAAACACTTTGAAACGCTTGATTCCTGCTTCTGTCAACAGGGAAGGCGCAGTCATGTTGCAGAATCCTTGAGGTTGGGCAACAGAACCAAGGTGAAAAAAAAAGATGTCATCTTGTCTTGGCTTTGATCCGCTGCTGAGCTGTCTCAACTCTCGACTTCAAAATCAACTTCAGATGCTCTCGGCGACATTAACCTCCTATAGATTCTTCCTTTTTTCCTCGTTTCCCTTCTGTACTTCTGTATCTGGATGCAGTTCAGCCGAATCAGTTCCAAAAGAAATGTAAATAAATAATAATAATAATCTGCGCTCGATTGTTTTCACACACGGTGGTCCTGCTCATCGTGCAGCAGGTCTTCCTTCGTCAATCTGCTGCTCATTTTTGGACTGTTTTAGTGTGAGGGATGTTTGTTCTTCAGGTTTGGTGTTGCCTTCCTCACATCTGCTTGGCTGCTTTTAGATAAACAAAAAAAATAATTTGCACTCTTCCCTCATCTTTTTGCTTCCCTCCACTGCAGCACATTCGGACAGCCACACATTGATCGTTTGGCTCCTTGCTTAAACATTTTGGAAACGATGCATTAGCTTAAATGTTAATATCTCTTAGCTTTTATTATCCAGCCCTTGATGGCGCTCTCCTGAAATAAAGAAGGAATTTAGTTACGGCTGCCAGGAAAGAGATCCGTGGTGTGCATCAGCAAGATGTGACACTAATAATGAAAAAGACTTAAAGCTCACTTAATGAGCGCTTTTACATTAATCGGGAAGAAATTCAGCAGCTTAGATTGTTGCTTACGGTTATAAAGCCTCAGAAATTATAACCTGGTCTCCTTTTAAGTGCCTCCTGCTTCTGTGTTTTGGATTCCAGCCTGTCGACGGAGTCTTAATGAACCTTAATTAAGCTTAACAGGCAGGTAAAGTGAGCAACAGCTCAGGAGACCAAAAAAAAGACCAACGGATTGAGTTAAAAGCTTCTATTTCGTTTTCCCAAACTGTAACATTGTGTTTTATCCAATCTACTTTCATTAGACGCCTGTAAACAAAACACTTTGTCACAATCAGCTTAGCTGATTAACATCTGCGCTGCATTAAAGTATTTTGACAAATTTTTAAGGAAAATGCTAAAATCTTCCAACTCTTATGAAATGGGGATTATTGGACGGATCCCACAGGGTGGCTCTTTTTCATACCCAGAACTGAACTAGTGACAGACAGATCCTTTCAATTCTATTCAGTTTATTTCTATAGCTCCAATTCACATCATGTCATCTCAGGTCACTTTCCAGTTCACCAGATCATCCAGTCAGATTGATTCAAAGTTTTCTATCTAAGGAAAACCAGCTGATTGCATCGACTCATTGACTCTTCAGCAATCCCTCACACTAAGCATGCTTGTAGCGACAGTGGAGAGGAAAAACTCCCTTTGAACAGGAAGAAACCTCCAGCAGAACCAGGCTCAGTGTGAGCGGCCATCTGCTGAGGCCCACTGGGGTTCAAGGAGACAGAAGCAGACATAGAAAAAGAAGCATAGATACAAAAGGCAACTGTCAACCAGCTCCACAGGCGGCCCCGTCCAGGAAACACACAGCCAGGCAGACGAGCTCCGAGCCAGCTCCCATGTCAGAGGATGAAGAGAGCACATCCAGTTAGTCACAGTCAGAGAAACAGGACTACACTGGAAAACAGGCCAAGCTCCAACATCTAGAAACAAAGGTGTTGATGGCAGCAGCACAGCTGATATTTCTCTCCAGGATGGAGTCACAGCCAAACAGGAACAGACCAGATGAAGCTACTATGAGAAAAAGCAGAGAGAGCAGAACGTTAGAGATTGAACTAACAGATTCTGCAGAGTGGGAGAATAGAGATAGAATGAAGCAGGATGATGAAAAAGGGGTCCCTATGTCCTCCAGCAGTCTAAGCCTATAGCAGCAGAACTATAGAGAGAGCTGAGGAGATAAAGGAGCCTTAAGCCTGACCTTGGTCTCAGTCGGACCGTTTAAGGCTGAAGCGTTGACCTCGCCTGGATCCTTGCAGATTAAATGAGGGTCAGCATTCTGAGACTTGAAGCATTATGAATCAGCCGGATTGAAGAAATGTTGAGACTGTGTATCTGACTGAAACACCCAACAGCATTGAGTTTGTTCACAAAGGGGAGTTTTTAGTTCTGATGCCTGAACAAAGAAAACCTATTATTTCTTTCTGGATCTGTCCTCCCTGTCCTCCACAAAAAGCTTTGAGAATTAATCAGTTTGTTTTATTCTTCATTTAATCCAGAAATGGGAAATGTAAGAAAAAAATGTAGATGTTGTAACTACCAGAAACTAAATGTAATCTTCTTGAATATAAGGAGCCAAAAGTTGACCAATCTGTTGCTGTCCCTTTTTTTCTCTTTAATTAATTTAATTTGTTTCTCTTTAATTTGTCTCTCTAGCCTGATCTCTGCTTGTTCCTCGTCTTAGATATTCTTTGTAAAACCATGAGTTCTCTCCGGGTTCTCAGTAGGAACTTCCTTTGCTTCTGCCGCTGAAAGGAAACTCCTCTGAATCAGTGATTTATGCTGTTTTCTGTCTCGCTAGCAAACCACAGTAGAAGAGCAGAGTCGCATCATGCAGCTAGAGCGGGAGCTCGCCCTCCGCCAAGCTGAGGTCCAGGACCTCCAGGGTCAGCTTAGAAGAGTCGACGCAAACTCCCAGCAAGACGCGGCGGGGACCGGCGCCCAACCGGAGACCCTCCTCCTACGCGAGCAGCTGCTGACGGCGGGCCGTGAGCACCACAAGGAGAGCAGCGAGCTTAGAGAGAAGTACGAGGCGGCGCTAGCGGCCAGCCAGCGGGAGATCGACTCTCTGAGGGCGATCGTGGAGAAGCAGAGCGTGGAGATCGGCGAGATGAAGCAGAAGGTCCAACAGGCCACCAAGGAGAATGTGGAAATGATGGACTCCTGGAAGGTGCTGCGTTACTGGTTGATCTTCAGATCTGGTTGTAGAGCAGATCTGAAGATCACTAGAGTTTGGTTCAATAAATATAAAAGATTCACGTTTTTTTCCTGCTTCAACTGCAGTTTCCCGATATTGGGCTAAAAGTGGATTGTTTGTTTTGCACAGGCTAAGTTCGACAGTTTGGTCGTCGACCATCAGCGATCGCTGGAGGAGCTGAAGGCATCATGGAGCAGAGGTCGGTCTGCTCCACAAGGCCAGGAGCAGGACGCCCAGGAGCTAAGGACCACCCTGGAGAGCCTGAAGATGGAGCACCAGCTGGAGGTGGAGAACCTAAAGGCCAAACACAAGATCGAAGCCGCCGTTCTGACCAAGGAGCGCGAGGACCTCTGCGCCCGACTTCAGGAGGCCAGAGAGCAGCTGGCTGAAGGAAGGTCCGACCCGGAAGCTCAGAGCAGCAAGGCGGCACTGAACGAAGCCTCCCAGAAGCTGCAGAAGGCGGAGGCTCGGCTGGCGGAGATGGAGATGCTCCAGGTGGAGCGGAACAAAACCACGTCAGAGCTGCGAGACCGACTGGAGCTGTCGGAGAAGAAGATGACAGATTACCAGGCTCTGCAGAAGGCCCAGGCCGAGAGCCGAGAGGAGATCCAGAAGCTGGAGGAGAAGCTGAGGGTGACGGCGAACAAGCTCCAGGCTGCGCAGGCAGACCGCATCCAACCTCAGGATGCAAACGTAAGCAGCTGAGGCTTTAGCTGCATGAGATGAAGCTAGTCCTTCTCTAAGGCTTTACGTCTCCTGGCTCTGTTTCAGATGATAGAAGATAATCAAATCTCCGATGACAAGATCAAGCTCAAACACAATATTGAAGGTATTTAGATCCATTTCTTCTCCTCATTTTATGATTTCTAAAAAAGAGATTATAAAGTTAACTTTTAATCTGGTAACTTTTGAGTCATTAGGATCAAATGTCTGGTTATCCTCCTGCAGCAGTGTGTCGCAGATATTTCTGATTTATGCCCAATATTGAAGCGTGGTCTGCGCTGTTATTCCACGCCACAACGCCAGAGGGCCAATCAGGAACTAGCTGTGGGTCTAGATACGGCCGAGGCGGTGAGGAAGTGGTAGCTAGTTTGTGCGACAACGGAGAGACATGAGGGCCAAAAAGAGCGGAGATCCAGGTGGAAAAAGGGTCCCAGCGTTCTCACGCACCTCGCTCTGCTAGCTGCTCCATCTTCACCAGTCGTTTTCAACAATGGCGGTCAGACAAACAAAACCAGCCAGTTAGGAACCAAGCAGGAAATACGCATAGAGTAGAGCGGATGTAGAATTGACCAATCAGAGGCCTCCTGTCTGAGGTCACCTACGGTTTTGGAGAGATGCGGAATGAGGGGGAGCGGGGCATATCGGAATTAACTGCGACACACAGACAGTCGACCTGGTTTCTAAGTATAAATCAGCCTTAATGATTGGTTTAGAAACACTTGTTGGTCATCCCAATGATCTCAAGGGTCACACCGTGACGATTTAGACCAGCGTATGCAGGAGGTACGTAAAATCTGGCAAATAGCTGGCATACGTTGGATAAATTATGGTTACATATTGTTAGGAGTCGCTGAAGTACGCTGAAACACGCTGGTACTCGTCGATATATGGAAAGTACATTGAGTGTGATCCATGATGTATGCAGGTGTATGCTAGGTGGGGCATAAGCAGAGATGGCAAAGTACTCACTTTCCGTACTTGAGTAAAAGTACAGATACTTGTGTTAAAGAATACTCTGGCAAAAGTGGAAGTACTGATTAAACTTCTTTACTCAAGTAAAAGTAACAAAGTACAGGCTTGTAAATTTACTTAAAGGAATAGTACACCCAAAACATGATTAGCCTTCATTTTCTACTCACCCCCATGCTGAACAACACTCTGGAGTACTTTTTTGATATCTCAAATGCATCTGGAGATCTGGGAGGCTTCTTGCTGTCTGCTGACATTCAAATAATGGCGGTCTATGGCGCCCGAGGCAGAAAGGTCCATAAAAGTCCACAAAAAACGTGTCAATATTCCTCCATACTGCTCGTCCAATGTATTCCAAGTGTCCTGAGTGGGTAGCGTCCAGAATTTACTCGAAACGAAGTCATTTAGAATGTTTTTAGAGCATAAACAGTAGTGTATAGGATTTCCTAAAAGCGAGTTCACGAGTCTACGGAAACCGCGGCAGACCAAACCAGATGAAAGTGCGCATTCAGGAGTCTACGGAAACCGCGGCAGACCAAACCAGATGAAAGTGCGCATTCAGGAGTCTACGGAAACCGCGGCAGACCAAACCAGATGAAAGTGCGCATTCAGGAGTCTACGGAAACCGCGGCAGACCAAACCAGATGAAAGTGCGCATTCAGCTCGGCAAAGAACTCATGCTTTTCCTCAACACTGAAGTCCTCAGACATTTTTCTTTCGTTGTTTCTTTCTTTGCACAGGTAAACAGCACATTTCTTCTTCTACGCTTGCATTATCGGCAGAGCAGACGCTGAATGCGCACTTTCATCTGGTTTGGTCTGCCGCGGTTTCCGTAGACTCGTGATCGCGCAGGTGCACGCTTTTAGGAAATCCTATACACTACTGTTTATGCTCTAAAAACATTCTAAATGACTTCGTTTCAGTAAATTATGGACGCTACCCACTCAGCAGGAAAAAGACTAAAACAAAGTGAATCCAGTAGAACTTTTTATTGCCTACCAGGAATGGGTGACAATAGTTGAAGAAACTTTTGGCTCTCAAAATGGTGAGGATGCAGGCAGCTTTGCTCACATCAATGATCATGGGGACTGTGGGGAGAGTAGTTAACCTGACTCCGCCAGATGGATTTGCTCCGCATATCCATCTGGAAACCTTCCACTGAAGTAATTTTGGGAAGGGGAGAAAATACTGGTTAGCTGATTGGCCTATGTTGGTGATAGACGGGCCAAATAAACCAATCAGATCAACAAAGCATATGACGTACTAACAGAGCGACGACGAAGAGGTGCCAATTGATAGATCAAACTCTTGCTGAAACCAGTCGGGAGAAGAGCAAAAACATCTTTTCCTCCAGAGCAGTGTTTTGCTCTTTTTTCAGTGAAGAAATACTCTGTAATTCCCATAAAACTTGCTCGATAGCCACGCTAACGCTAGTTTCATCGGCTGAAGCCGCCATGTTCTTTAGACTGAACTGTCGCGCTTCTCGTTGCGTCACACCTCAACCCGCCTCAAAGCCAACGCTGATTGGACGTTCGTTTGGTGAACGGCTCCAAGTTTTCTTTAATGGAGAGTCTCCAGACTGATCTGCGAGTGAAACCTTGAAAGCTCGCGAGATCAGGATGGTCTCACGAGGCTAGAGAGTAGCAGCCAGGTTCTGGGGGTGAGGCGGCCTTCCTGTCACAGGGATCATCCCTGCGTAGAGGCAGCCATAGTAGGCAGCAATCAGGTCAATGCCTGGGGGATAAAGCAGCACCACATTGTCCCCTGTGTCGAGGCCCCCTTTTTCATATAGAGTGGCAGTGATTTTCTCTGCTCTCTTGTGTAGCTGTGCACATGTTGCTGTGCACACTGGTACACCCTTGGAGTTGAGTAGCACATAGAGAACATGCTCAGGGTCGGTTTGGGCTCTCCACTGCAGAGATTCTGACAGGAATTGGTGCTTTCCAATGAGGTCTTGATCGTCCAACACACCCAGCTCTCTGCCTGTGGCCTGGGCAATCCGCTTCCCTGCAACCAGGTTTACCAACTAGCATAGAGGCGGGACCAACATCCACTGGCTGTTTCTGTGGTGGCTTGGGCATGTTTGTTACGCACGTATGCGGGCACATGAGGAGAATATATTGATATATATATATGAGTTTCTTGGCTGTGTTGAAAAAGTTCAGGCGGAGATTTTTCTTTGGTTTAATCCCTGCATAATCAACATTTCGAAGCGCTGAGAAGTGTTCAAGGAAACATAAATAAGAAAGTATAGTAATAAAATAGTAATAAAATAAAGTAGAAGTTACTTTAAAATGGCAACCAAAAAAAATCAATGAAAATTGATGAGTAGTTTAGAAAGATGACCAATAGAAGCAGTGGACCTAAAGCTTAGAAGCCCAGTCTGACTATGAAATAGACAATGTATTTAGATAAATTTTTTTATTCTATGTTGGATTTTTTTATTTTATTTTTTGAACAGCACGTTTAAGAAAAGTTTGTTTTATTTTTTGGTTACTTTTATTTTTCAGAAACGATGGAGAAGTTAATAAAGAGGGAAAAAGAAGTCTCTACACTCACTTCCCAGGTGGATGCTTTAAAATCCCAGATTGGAGGTAAATCTTATTGTTAAAGATCTTCTTTCCTGCAGGTTTCTGAATAAATGCTTCCCTTTATAGATGTTTTATATAACTAAATATAATTCAAAAATAACCCTTTAGCGTATTCCTTAAAAACATTATTAGTGAGATATGCAGAGAAGGACCACATACCAGAGGATATACTCTCATATTATGTTGTGTCAACAGATTTAATTCAATTCAGTTTATTTCTATAGCTCCAATTCACATCATGTCATCTCAGGTCACTTTACAGTTCAACCAGATCATCCAGTCAGATTGATTCAAAGTTTTCTATCTAAGGAAAACCAGCAGCAACCTGTTGAGGCTAATGGTGGTCTGTAGAGGGGGGGGTCAGTGTCTGTCTCCTGGACGTCTGTCTAAGAATGTGTCCCAAACTGAAAGGCTAATTAGCAGTTTACTGTGTGACACTATGAATTATAAATATATTAAACTTTTAAACATTCTTCAGATTTGTAGAGATTTACCTGAATGCGTGTCTCTGTTCCCCAGCAGACAGGAAGGGTTCACTATGGGGTTCTTTGTAGCTTCAGCCTTTGATCATCACCCAATAATCTTTTGAAAAGCTCTGTGACATCAAACAGACTGGAAAAGGGCTTGATGTCGCCCGGATAATCAAAATGACACCCGCTGAGGAATGGATCATTAATCATTCACAGAGAAAAGAAAACGATATATATATATATATATATATATATATATATATATATATATATATATATATATATATATATATATATATATATATATATGGGTTGTCTTTTTAAAGTGTAGAAATATGATTTCATTGTTTTATACTTTCCTTCAGAGCCTAAGTTAGAATTAGATGAAAATGTTCATTAATCTGAATAAATTGGAGGAAAACCTTTTAGCTTGTAGTCTGATGTTTGTGGAAATTGCTCAATAAATAGCTTTTAATTCAAGCTTTGGTTAGAGTAGACATTTAGTTATTTATTATTTCTTTAGGGATTTTCTTCAAAAATAAAACTGCAGATTCATCCTTTTTGGAAACCATTTTAGTTAGGAACCTTAAATGACTTAAAGGTATCATGGAGGTTTTTGAAGACCCACCCTCTCCACTTTAACACTAAATGCACATGCACAACCCTGTACCCGCTCCTGAGAGGGAACGCCTTTTAAACGAGTGTGAGAACGTGCACGAGCCTGTTTCACCTCGTGCACGCTCTGTTTAAAAGTTGCTGTTCTCATTGGTCATCCAAGCTTACTGTGTCTGTCCATCCGCCCTAACCCCTTAATCCCTCCATCACTATATAGAGCGGGGACTTTATAGTGAACTTTATAGTGAACTTTATAGTGAACTTTATAGTGAACTTTATAGTGAACTCAGTTAAATGACCGTTCACACAGATGTCAATAGAAATGTGGTACATGCAAGTGGTAGACATAGATGCACTTTTGCCATCTTCTGGACATAGAAAAAGAAGCATAGATACAAAAGGCAACTGTCAACCAGCTCCACAGGCGGCCCCGTCCAGGAAACACACAGCCAGGCAGACGAGCTCCGAGCCAGCTCCCATGTCAGAGGATGAAGAGAGCACATCCAGTTAGTCACAGTCAGAGAAACAGGACTACACTGGAAAACAGGCCAAGCTCCAACATCTAGAAACAAAGGTGTTGATGGCAGCAGCACAGCTGATATTTCTCTCCAGGATGGAGTCACAGCCAAACAGGAACAGACCAGATGAAGCTACTATGAGAAAAAGCAGAGAGAGCAGAACGTTAGAGATTGAACTAACAGATTCTGCAGAGTGGGAGAATAGAGATAGAATGAAGCAGAATGATGAAAAAGGGGTCCCTATGTCCTCCAGCAGTCTAAGCCTATAGCAGCAGAACTATAGAGATAGCTCAGGATAACCTGAGCCACTCTAACTAGAAGCTTTATCAAAAAGGAAAGTTTTAAGCCTAGCCTTAAAAGTAGACAGGGTGTCTGCCTCACGGACTAAAAGATTCTCATACGTTTTTCTCTTCCGACCCTCGGCCATTTTCAAAGAACTGCGGTGAGAAAGGTGAGCTTCAATGACTGTCTGAAACCGTAGCTCACCACAGATATACACCTGAAAGTGCGCAGAAAAAGATAACGGGACGAGCGCGTAGGACGGCCTTATGTAAACACATCACCAGAATGATTGACAGTTAGAAGGACCACTTATTGAGGTGATCCACCCGGAAATAAAAGATTGAATTAGATAGAATTAGTAGATTGTTGCGTAATTCTTTCTTTCTATCAGGCTTTGAACATAAATGGGGAGAATTATTTGCTAAAACTGAAGAACAAGAAGAGTCCAGAGCATAATCTGTCTTCTTTAATGCTGTTACAAAATTTAATAAACTATTGGGTTACTTTTAGAAGAACAGTAAAATAAAAAAGTAAAAATGCTGTAAATAACAAAAAGTGACAAGTTCTTTAATTTTTTTGTTCCCAAGCCCTGGAGAGCAAAGTTCGCTGTGGGGAAAAGAAAGCCGAAGCCTTAGCCAAGGAGAAGACGCGCGTAGAGGCCGAGCTTGAGGCCATGACCAAGAAGTCCCATGATGCATCGGGGCAGCTGGTCAGCATCAGCCAGGAGCTTCTGAAGAAAGAAGGGTAACCGCTTTATCGATGTCACTACTCGCTCTGACGCCCTGTGGATAACTGGGGAGAAAAATGAGATCTCTGAGCAAACACACATTAGAAGAAAAAAAAAGGTTTTATTATTAGTTTGATAAGAGCTGAAGCAACAGATACTCTATTGATTTTATTGTATTTATTGTTAGTTTTAACCAAGCCCTCTGCCAGGCTTTCTGATTTAAAACAATGTTTTCTCATAAAGGAAAAGCACTCTACAGACCATAAAATCCTTCTAAAAGACATATGGGAAGAAATTACTTTAAAGCGACTGCAAGAACTTAGTGTTGGGTTTAAAAAAAACAAAGAAAGCAACATATTTTCCCCTCAACAGACGATCAAATCCGTCTGAGAACATAGAACAATGTAGAGGGGCTTGTTGGGGCCTCTGGGGGTAAGTGGGCCCTTTTTTTTCCAGTAATAGTATCTTAGAGTTACTCATTTGTTTCTGGGCGTGCAGAAGCTTTCTAATAGCTCTGCTGGTGATTTATTATCATGGTAACTCAGAGGGCTTTACCAATCGCTTCTAGGCCTCCTCTGCCTCAGAATGAGCAGAGAGCAACAGGAGGAAGCTCAAAGCTGCAGAGATGGATCCCCACTTCCAGAACGGACCCACTACTGATGCCATTAAATCCTGGGAGAGCAGAGGACGCTCTGTTATAAGGCTGTAGTGTACGCTACAGCTCAACATTTCCTCTTCTGACCCACAGCCGGGTATTAGGGATGGAACGGTTTTTGAAAACCGTCCGAATCGTTCGGTTCGACTGCCTCGGTTCGGTTCGCGTGTGTTGCGTTCGGTTCATGCGCTGCTCCTTTTTCTCATAGGCGAAGCGTTTACACTCCAGAGCAGAAGGTGGCGGTACTGCGACCAAAGCCAACCACCAGTAGTAAACAAGAAGAAGAAGCGAAGCAGCGTAGCCGGGTGTAGCAGAAAAAAATCAGTTGTTGTGGAGAATTGTGTGGGTATGGCGAGTGGGAAAGAACAGGAGTTGGAAGACGCGCCAGCAGCACTTTATAGGTCTGCTGTATGGGACCACTTTGCATTTAGAGTGACCTACGATGACGGCGGGAAGAAAGCTGTGGATAAAAGTGCAACAGTGTGCAAGCATTATGCAACACGTTTTGTTTATGCTAACAGCAACACGACCAACATGTAATGCTAACCCCGAAATCCCTCATACTCCGTCAGCGCTCCGCCCCGCTGCGCTCCAGACCACCTGCTCAAAGCAAAGCCTACAGCCTCCACTGTGGCTCCCGTCCGCTCCGCTCTGAGTTCCTTGGAGATGGTAGAGAGCATGCGCCAGATGATTAAATTCAAAGCAGCAAAACATACGGAAATGATCCACTCCATGCCACGCCGCATTGCTGCAGTAATACAGGCCAAAGGAGGCCCAACTAAATACTGAGTGCTGTACATGCTCATACTTTTCATGTTCATACTTTTCAGTTGGCCAACATTTCTATAAATCCTTTGTTTTTATTGGTCTTCAGTAATATTCTAATTTTCTGATATGATGAATTTGAGATTTTCATTTGTTGTCATTTGTAATCATCAAAATTAAACAAAATAAACATCTGAAATATATGAGTTTGTATGTAATGTATGAATATAATATACAAGTTTCACTTTTTAAATGGAATTACTGAAATCAATCTACTTTTTCATGATATTCTAATTTTATGACCAGCACCTGTATATATATATATATATATATATATATATATATATATATATATATATATATATATATATATATATATGTCTTAACATTTCCTTGTGATCCTTATATTGTATATTATATGTTCTTTCTTATGTATTTGCCTGCCTAGGGACTACAGATGAAAACTAGCTTTGTAGCTATTATCCGGCATATTTACATTTGTTTTTATACTGATGTTCATTAATGTGCTTGTTCCCTATTCAAATATATATATATATATATATATATATATATATATATATATTTGGGTATATATGGGTACTTTCATCACTTTCATCCAGTAAACCAAAGTTCTTCTGTATTGCAGAGCGTGCAAGATTGAACTAAACGGAATATATACTTACAAAATTGGTGACATATTCACAATATCTTATACGTATATTCAGTATAGATATAACTGAAAAGATTTGATCAGTTATTGAAACATTAATTTACAAATTCATGATGTAGATAAATTAGACACAGCTGATGTTTTCAAGCCTTCATTTCTGTTAATTCTGAGGACTTTCTGCTAACAGCTCATGAAAACACATTTAGGATAAGAAAAGTACATGAGACTAATATCATGTCGGGTTAATGAAAAATATGTTGAACAACTGCTTAAAGATTGTATTTTTACAAAGAAGAGACGTTTTCTATTCTCATTTGTTTAATCTGGAGGGAGGAAAATAACAGGAAGTGGGTCCAAAGCTAAAACATTTTGGCAAATTACTCAATGTCTATAGTATGATATATATTAGATAGTATAATATATGAAGTTTAATTCACTTAAGGTTTTGTTTTTTGCAAGAACAGAATAATAATATTACGGAAACATATATAGTAAAGGAATAAAGATAAATTCCTCCTTCCAATTATAGAATTTAACTCATTTTACACTGAGATCAGTCATTTCATTTGAAAAGGAAAAGCAGAGTTTGCATTAGTAAACTCTTATCCCGATCCTTTGTATTAGAAAAGGCTAAAATAAATATTAAATTAACAGTATTAGATTATAAAGGGGTGTGTTTGTGAAAGAAAACCTCTAAATGTGGTTCTGTTTTTCCTCCAGGAGCCTGAACGAGCTGAGGGTTCTGCTCCTAGAGTCTCACCGCCACTCCCGGGAAGTGGAGAAAGATCTGAGCCGAGAGGTGCACAAGGCGGAGTGGAAGGTCAAGGAGCAGAAACTTCAGGACGACATAAAAACGCTGCGAGAAAAACTGCTTCTGCTGGTGAGAACAAAGCAGAACTTACAGATTTAATATCAGTCAATCCATTCATTGCTTCACTCAGTTTAACAGTTTCAGCAGAAATTCACAAACATTTACTGAACATCTTGTAAGGACCCGCCTCCGTCTCAATTATTCCAAAATACATGTTTAGAAATACATAGATTACACGTCTTACAAATAATAAGTCATTCAGAACTGCTTAAGACTTTAATTTGGATTAGAACATTGTTTTAACTCATCATCCAAGCTGGTCCATAATTTTCCTCCATGCACCAAAATGTAAATTTGTTTTAAAGTAGTCAGCCGAGTTTTGCTTTTGAAATCACACTTCCTTTTATTATATTTGAATTTAAGACAAAAAAACAACATATTGACATATTATCGCCGACACACGGGACTGAAACCTGCAGCCCAAAGTGGCTCCTTGGAATCCTGATGCCTTTGCCTCCAGTTGATTAAAAAAGGAAACTAATTTACTTTTTATTAAATTATACAGAAAATGCAGCTTTTAGCTATTTTTCACAGAATGACATAAAAGTATCTGATTTTTTTGTAAATTTTTCAGTGATTAGAAATGACCTGTTTTTCTCACATCATTTTCCAAACGTCCCAAAGCTGATCCTCTTTTTCTAAACATTTAAAATCTATAAAATGAAAATAAAATGGTGTTTCCTTCTAAATGATTACGCATTCCCTGTAGCACAAACAAAGCTAATAAAATATTAGAAAAGTCGTTAATTTTTAAAAGCTCATGTATTTTTTGAGCAAGTTTTCTTTAGCTGGACTCTGGGTAAAAATGATTCTTTGGATTTTAAGGTCGCAAAACCCTGAACTTAATTAGCTTTAATATACATTTGGACTGAAGTCTGAAGTCAGGAGAATATTCATATTGACTAAACATATTTTAAAGGCGTTTTAGCCTTTTGACACCAAGTTTTAATCTGAGAATGAGGTTTCAAATGCAAAAGTACTGAACCAGATTAATTATTATTCATTATGGGGAGGGGGGGTTGCTTGTATTATAACCTGATGTTTAGTATTATATTCGTATCGTATTATATTACATAATATATATTTCGGATAAAGAATCTTAAAAAAGAAACTGCTAGAAGGAGGAAAGATGAAGGTTTATTGATGTCGCTCAGAGCTGTTGTGACCCGAGGATCTGAGGGATGCGGTGAGATTGGTTCAGATTATCTGCTGTGGCGCCCCCTAAAGGCAGTCCGTAAAAATTCAAAAAATATCCACTGGACTTGGTTTTCAAGATTTGAAGACGTTTCTCCACCCCTCCAGGAAGCTTTCTCAATTCAAATGTCTGGATCCGCAGTGAGTTTGAGTCTTATATAGACAACACCTTGTATCGCTTGGAAACATGCAATGGTAACCGATGAGTGGGTCGTTTGGTTCCATCGTTAGCCTGTAATATCTGAACCTGTCTATGATTCTAGGGGTCGGTCGTTAAAGGGGGGATTGCCATTAAGGGGGGGGATTGTCTCCTATAATACCTGAAACCTGTCTATGATTGTTAAGGGTTGGTCGTTAAGGAGGTATTGTTCACCGGCTGGGGCGGGTAGGTCCCTCGTTCCTCTGCTGATGAAGGTTCTCAGTCATCCAGGTCAAAGTCCCCCTAAAGGCAGCTGCTGAAATTCAACTGGATTGGAAAAATACATTTTAAAGTTGGGTGTGATATGAGTTTAGAGATGAACAGATGAGCATGCCCAGTCAGACCAGCATACAGGGTTTCTAAGGGTCCTTAAATATCATTAAAAGTCATTAAATTATTATTTAAATTTAGGCCTTAATTGCCATTAAAATACATTAAATATGATTATGGCATTTTAGATGCTTTATTTTAAAAAAAAAGTTTACAAAAAGAATTTCGGTTGATCGTAAAGCCGTATGTTCGGAAAAAAAGATCGAGGCGGAGAAAAAGCTAGAGAATGGGAAAATGCAAGTTTCAACAAGTGGCTGAAAACCGAGGAATTCAGGACATGGCTGCAACCTGTCGACGGGAAAGATAAACAAGGATTTTGACGTATTTTATATATATATATATATATATATATATATATATATATATATATATATATATATATATATATATATATATATATATATATATATATATATATATATCTGTGTGTGTGTGTGTGTGTGAGTCATGAGTTCTTGTTGATTGCTTTAAAATAATTTCTAAGAGCATTAAATCAGAGTTACTCATTCCTGTATAAACGCTGCCATAGTCAATACATATTTATCCCTTTATTTTTGTATGAAAAATAGACTGTTTTTTGTTTTGTTTTTTCCTTTCCTTTTTTCTTTTAATGATGCATCAGTCACCTTAGCAAAGACACAGCAAATAAATCCTTTATAAATACGATCAAGGTGGAGGAGAAACGCGGTCGTCTTTAGAGCTCCATAGCCAGACATGTTCACAAGTCATTTTTTGCAAGTCCAAGTCAAGTCTCAAGTCTTGAGAAGGCCTGTCGCAATAATCAATTAATCGCACAAAAAATTCTAATCACTTGATTAATTTAAAAAAGTGCAATAATTTTCGTGCTTGCTTGTTTCTTCTTGTGTTTTCATCTCCGTCACTGAGACGGTATAGCTTAAAGATCGCTATTATATCTATTGAATTATCATTATCTTGAACTGCTAAATGAAAAATACAATTAAAAAAAGCACACGCAAAATTTTTTTCCAGATAAATTTTGCATTTTCTTACAGTATTTACCTGACATTTGTGGTTACAACTTTTTCTAGTTTTAGCAGTAAATGTCTGCTCTTTTATTGAAAATGAGGACTGTGGAAAAAAAAAACAATCACAATCCTGCCGTCCACGTAATGCTGCGTCAGTGACATCAGTGTGTTGCACAGGGAAAAATATGATTTATGGTTTTCTTTCATTTTAATGTTAGTTTTATGCTTTGCATGTTTGGAGAGGAAGATATGATTTGTTTTTCTTTGTATTTTCTTCTTGAGCTTTGCATGTTTTGATGTTTCTTTTTTATATGATTGTTTTCCTTTATTTTAGACTTTTGAATTTTTCCTGCATGTTGGGTTGTTTTGGTTTGTTTTTCCCTTGTGACAATCCATGCGCACTGGACTGAAGTAGTTGTCTGAGGAGGCGGAGTGCATTGATTGCGCTGCGTAATGCTGCGCTCAGGTGTGAGCAAGGGCTGATTAAAGCCGACATAAAAGGAGTCTGAAGGAAAGGAGAAGGAGAACGGAATCTGCAGGTGACAGAGACGGACGCGCTGCTGGGGGAGATGCAGGCGGGATCCGTGCGCACAGATGGCCCAGTAAGGAGTATTAGGGCAGAGGAGGAACCTCGCCTGTAAGTAGCGCTCCCCCTCGCTTAAAGCATAAACAGGAATATATCTTCCGACGGGTTTTTGGCGCGTGGATGCTGGCGTTCTCCTTGCTTCTCTTTTTAGCTGGATCGGTCTGGAAAGGGGTGTGGCACGCCAGGGAGTGGAACAGTGCTGGAGCGCCGCAGAGTCTGTGGATCAGCACCCAGTGGGTGCTGCAGGACGATCACTCGCACCGGAAGCAGCATAACAAGCGGAGCCCAACTTCCAGCCTCTGATTTTTCAGGAAAACTCTTGAATTTTAGGTTTTATCAGGAGAAGAAAAGGACTGTTTTATTATGCCACTTTTGCTGTGGCTTTTTGTATAAATAAAACACTTGAACTTGAGTGCTTCACGGTTTGGGTCTTTGAGGGTTTTTTTTTTTTTTTTACCCCTTCTGTGTGCGGGTAAGGCGAGCGGCGATCAGTCAAGTTAGTAAAACAAAAAACACTTGAATAAGTGTTTTTACACTGGAATCAAATATTGTTCACAAGTCGGAAATCACGAGTCTAAGTCGAGTCTGAAGTCATTAAATATGCGACTTAAGTGCGACTCGAGTACGAGTCACAAACTCGAGTCCCCATCTCTGTCCATAGCTGGGCTCTGTTTGATGCTGGAAACATCAGCAGCTTCAACAGCCCAGTAAAAACTAAACCGTCTGCTTCAGTCATACATTTTATGTAGTTCGGCTTTCGAGTGTCAAGATAGACTGAATATGAACCCTATTCACTATTAAAGATTAGTTTTAAACTTCAGCCAATATGAGCTATATTACGTGATATTAATTGTTATCGTTAAATTATCGGCAGCTATTTATAAAAAGCAGCTTCGGGGTGTGAAACCTTCTGCCTTTGTTCTTTCAGGGCCAGGAGCGGTCCTCCCCCGACCACCGGCGCTACTCCATGCTCGACCCCTCGGCTCTGGACTCTGAGGTGAGCCGCCTGCGCCAGCGGCTCCTCAACACGGAGGACGCCCTGAGGAATGCCTTGCAGCACAACCAGCAAGTGGACAAGCTTGTCCAGGCCATGCGTAGACATCCAGATAAAAGCCAGGTAGAGTGCCTGAAACTAGCCCACCTGCTTAATTCATGTCTGTGGAGCTGGAGAGTTCTCCTCCTGAGTATGCAGTCAGGTTTCCTGCTAATCACCTGATTATTTGACTCATGCATTGAACCAGAGACGCATCTAGAGTCTACAGGACACCAGGACCTCCATCACTGTGGTTTGGATCATAACATGTTATAGTTTGGGTTAAAGTCCAGACCTACATACAGCTGTGAGTCTGTAGACCACAAATAAATGTTTAAAAACCCCATAATATCCGACTGGACAGAGTTTAGGTAATTTAGCAACAATCACAAATGTCTTGTTGAGACTTCCCCCTAAAAGATCCAGATATGACGACAACAAAGAGATTTTACTAAATAATGATTCAAAGGGGATGAAAAAAAAAAACACATCACAATAATGATCCTCTCTTGCAGATTCTAATAAAAGTGAACTTTTTTTCCAAGTTTCTCTTCCATCCAGGAAACTGTCATGATTTTATCTAAAGCTCGGACCCACATGCAGTGAAACCAATTCAGAGAGACACAGATGAAAACTTTAACAGGTTTATTGAAGAGTTTAGGCTCGGAGCGGCGTTGCTCAGAACTCAGCTCGACCGGAACTGGAAGGTGAAGGGTAGACAAAACGATTAGTTCAGGCTCAGTGGGAAATTTCATTGGTGGATATGGAGAAGAGGCTCTGGTGGTTGACTCACGTTTCCAGAGAAGTTGTACGATCTTTGACTCCCATCTGTGTGCTGCTTTCCAGTGTTATTCTGATTCGGTGGAGGGCAGAAACAGGGTTTACCCAGAACTCGGATGGTTGTTGGTGAACGGAGAAACTGGCTGCCACTCAGATTTCCTGCAGTACTTGAACGGGTCGTAATGGAGATGATTCCCTTGCTCAGAGGGTTAACTCAACGTCCTCTTCAAGGAAGAAGGATCCAAACCTCCTGTTTGAATCCCCAGCTCGGTTCGAGGCTCAGTTGATTCCTTCAGGGAGAGAAGGTCCAAAAACGTCCAGTTTGCAGGAAGACTTCCTGCCGAGAGGCAAAGACAAAAATGAAGTTAAAACTAGGGGTGGGTATTGCCAAAGAAGTCACGATTCGATTCGAATCACATTTCACAGGCCACGATGCGATTCTATCACGATGCATCACAATACTTGAATTATTGTGATCCATTGCAATATTTTGTCCTCCATGTTTTGTTTTAGAATGACTCGGCGCAGTATGCCGCGGCCAGAAATGCTTGTGACACAAGGCAGCGTGCTTCAACACATCCACAGTGACAGCTACTGGACTGGCAGTTGTATTACACTTGTTTTTGGCTGATGATCGCCAACCATTCATGCAATTTTATTTATTTATTTTTTTAAATTAATAATCGATACTTGGCGTCAATCAATGCAGTAGATCACGAAAATTAGAATCACGATGCATCATCATGACGATTATTTTGCACACCCCTAGTTAAAACTCAGGTAGTCAAGAACTCAATCTTACTCAGCAAAACTCAGCTTGGATAGAGTACCCAAAACTGTCAAACACTCTGGCGTCGAGGTAGGGGCAATCAGCAGCTTAAGAGCGCTACGTTAACGTGGAAACCATAATCAGGTGTGTGAGGAGGCGGACCAGAACCAGGCGCCTCCTGCTGGTGGAAGGGAGAACAACACAAAAAGACAAAGACACAGACTGGAGTCCTGACAGAAACTTTCTCAATTCAAAATGTCAGAAATGTCATTGAGTTCCAGCCTTATAGAGTGGACCAACAGAGCCTTGTTTAGGCTTAGAAAACATGCTAATGGAAACGGACGAACGGGTCCAACCCTCAGTAATGGGGAGTCATTGCGGTCTTTGTTGGCTTGGATGACCAGGCAGGATGTTTTGGTCCCCTGCATGGCGATGGGGGTTCAGATGATGGCTGGAAGGAATCAACTCTGTTGCTGAAATCTGAGCTTCTCTCTTGACATAAATGGCTTCCTTCAAACCTCTTTCAAATCACCTGCCTTCTTTGTCCAAAATATGGTATATAGGAATGACTGTGACCTGGAGGAATGAGAATCTTTACTAACGTCTCCGGCATTTATTGATAAATTTGTTTGTTTGTTTCATAAAAAGTAAAGTAGAGTGAAGTTCATGACTAAATGTTTAAAAATGGTGAATTCTTTTAAAAGGCACTTTTCCTTTTAGCATCACTACTGAAAATCAGTTTCTTTTTTTTTGTTTCCTTCAGGTTTATATGCTTATCTTTGGGTATTTATCAGATCTTTGCCTTTACAAAAATAAGGACATGAGAGTGCAGCAGTTATTAAAGCCAACTCAGAAGGAAGACCATTACAGAGGTGGACAGTATAGAAAAGGAGTCTAAAGGGCAGAGGGAGACTGGAGCTTAGAGACACTCATGGAGACAGATGGGGACGTCGCTGCTTGGGTAGCAATCGGTTAGCCTAGCCACCATCACAGAAGGAAATGTTAAAGGAGTCTGGATTGTCTGGAGCGCACTGCTAGCAAACCTTACATAAGCTTATTATTATTATTACTTATTATTATATTGACTAATTTAACATCAAACCAGTTAACAATTAGCAACTTTAGCATGTTCAATATGTTTCCTTTCATAATTCCCAGTTAGGCTTCTGAGTAGCTGTAATCCAGGATAAACTGGAATTCCAGCTTTTCTTCTCCTGGAAAGAAGTTATGAAATGTCGGGAATATAAATCTACATTTATTCAAACTAATCTAAAGTAATTCAATTAAAGCTCCCATATTTTATATTCTAAAATAAAAAAATATCAAAAATGATATGTTTTTGCCATCTGTGGCAGACAACCTTTACAAAAATCTCCTCCTTCAGCCCCCCTCTGGATGAGCTGTTTTGGCTTTTAACGCCCCGTCCTCCTGAAGGCCACGCCCCCACAACCAGCAACCATGACAACCAGGAAGCGTTTGCAGAGATAAAGATAATAAATTAGATGAAGGCCGTAGCTTCACCGATGGGATGCTACAGACGGACCGCTCTGGACAGCTTAGTTCCCCCTTTTTACAAAAGAAATCAATCCGAATACTACATAAAGTGGGATACTGGGAACACACAAACCAGTTATTTATCAAATCAAATATACTGAAATTCTGGGACCTGGTAATATTTAGAACTTCTCAATTCATGTTTAAGGTTCGAAATCAAAAACTTCCACACAATATACAGGAAATGTTTGGTGACAGAGAAGGGGGTTATGATCTAAGAGGTGAAGGATACTTTAAAAAACAACACTTTAAAACAACCAGAAAGAGTTTTTGTTTATCTGTGTGTGGAGTAAATATCTGGAATGGTGTTTTTTTTTTGGTTTTTTGATGTTTTGAGATTTAATTGAGGATAAATTGACAAGTAGGAAAGGGGCAGGACATTATAAGATGTATCTTCTACCTGCTCCTTTTCGAACAGAAAATATAAAATTTACATGCACATGGGCAAAATAATTTGTTTTATACTTTCATTCTTAAGTTTGTTTCATTCAAATTTTTTTTTTTTCTTTCTTGATTGTTTTTACTGTCTGTTCGAAATAAATAAAATAAATAAATAAATAAAAAATAAAAATGACATCATCAGGGGAATTCTTTTCAAACAGCGTTTTGAGCACATGTTAGCTAAGAGGTGGAGAAGGGAAAGGTTTTAATTTTTATTTGAGAACCTCGTGCACAGGGTTAAGTTTACCTCTGACTGTTATATGATGTCTATAATGTGAATGTTGCATAATATGATAGCTTTGACAGGACACTACACGTGTAAATGCTCATCGGTCTACATCCATCTTTTTCAGATTCTCGGTGCAAATTCAGCGAATGGAATTCATCACCAAGAGTCAGACGGCACTCAAGAGGTTAGTGATGTTGCTTCCTTCACAGACATCCAGACTCATCCAGACCTTATTGAGAACAATCTGCACGGACATCTGAGAAAGTTAAAATATTTAGTTCTCTGTCAAACGCTGTTGTTAGGGATTTCACACCAGCCCATGTCTTATTAGCTTCGTGAGACCATCGTGATCTCGCGAGCTTTCAAGGTTTCACTCCCTAATCAGTCTGGAGACTCTCCGTTAAAGAAAATTTGGAGCCGTTCACCAAACGAACGTCCAATCAGCGTTGGCTTTGAGGCGGGTTGAGGTGTGACGCAACGAGAAGCGCGACAGTTCAGTCTAAAGAACATGGCGGCTTCAGCCGATGAAACTAGCGTTAGCGTGGCTATCGAGCAAGTTTTATGGGAATTACAGAGTATTTCTTCACTGAAAGAAGAGCAAAACACTGCTCTGGAGGCTTTTCTCAGAGGAAAAGATGTTTTTGCTCTTCTCCCGACTGGTTTCAGCAAGAGTAGCCTGGCTTGTGGTTGTGTTTTTGTCGTCGTCTGTTAGTACGTCATATGCTTCGTTGATCTGATTGGTTTATTTGGCCTGTCTATCACCAACATAGGCCAATCAGCTAACCAGTATTTTCGCCAGATGGATATGCGGAGCAAATCCATCTGGCGGAGTCAGCTTAATGCCTTATACCAACAAATAACCAAAGCCAGACATGATTTCCATGACTGTTAAGATGGCAAGAAAATGGACAGGAAACAAATGATCATTTCCTTGAAGCAATCCCTTGGCAAGTCTTTATTTATCTCTGCATAAAAGTTAAAAAATAACGCACTGGGCTTTGTTTCCAAGTTTGAAGACGTTTCGCTTCCCATCCAGGAAACTTTTTCAATTCACACACTTAAAAGGCATTGAATTCTTCAAAATAAAACTAAGGCCTGAATTGGCATTAAAATGTCTTAAATCAGTCTTACGTAGGTGTTAATTTTTAAAAGCTCATGAAAAGGATTATTTTTATTATGATTTATTTTTGTAATCTTAAAAAAAAAAAATTTAAATTGACCTTTTTTTTTTATAAAAAAAAAAATAACGGCTCGCCATTATTGGTTCCGTCCCGATAGCAGAACCAATAAAAGCGTTGTTGCGGCCGGGACATTTGGGATTTACTTTTTGTCTGGAAAATATGAGCAAGTGTAAATGTAACCAAAATTGTCTCCAGCCAAGAGTTTCCTCCACGGCTAAAACCAGGGAACATACATGAGGCTCAGTGGATTTAGTGCAAGAAGTCATTCACGCTGGGAACGATGGGAATGAAGGCAGTGGAGTCGCACATGCGAAGCACGAAACACAAAGCGTCAAAATGGAGTTACAGAGAAACAGGCGGTATTTCTCAGTTTAGTTCCACCCTTGTCTCTGCAACGCCTCCACTTATCACCAAATCAAACATACTAAGAAAACCATACAAAGAAAAATAGCTGCTAAAAAGACTTAGCACTGGTTATGTTGGGGCTTTAAAACTGATTTGTTTTGTTCCCTGCTAAAACAAAGTTTGTGAATTCAGTTAAATGATTGTTCAAATATATCTGTCATTTGTGTGTTTTTTTAGTGCAGTGGTTTATGTTAAAATAAACCTTTGGGTTAAGTTGTTGCAAGTTGGTTTTTCTTGTGTTTCTTGTGAATTTGGTCTTAAATTTTTATTTCAAGTGGCATTAAAAAGTCTTAAAAAGTCTTAAATTTACCTTGAATTTATGCTGTAGGAACCCTGGTTGAGTTCCAGGTTTTATCCAGCAGCCCAACAAAGCCTGGTTTTAGTTTAGAAAACATGCAAATAGAAACGGATGAACGGGTCCCCCCCTTTGGAATGGGGGTTGTTTGGCTTCTTTGTTAGCCTGCAATGCCCCATACCTGTCTATGTCTCTGAAAGGGGGGTCGTTAAAGGGAATTGTTGGCCTGGCTGAACAGGTGAGGTCTTCTGTTTAAGGTTGTTTTTTCTTTTTTAGCATAGATTAGCTTCCTTCACACCTCCTTCAAACCTTCTTTGTCCAAAATGTGAATATTGGCTAACAAAGAACCCAAACGACCCCTATTCCAAAGGGATGGACCCGTTCTTCCAGTTCAGTTTGCATGTTTTCTAAGCAAAAACAAGGCTTTTGTTTTGGTCTATAAAGCTTCAATATTTCTGACATTTTTTTTTTTGAAGAAGCTTCCTGGATAGGAAGAGAAACGTCTTCAAACTTGGAAAAAAAGTCCAGTGCATTATTTCTCAACTTCTTTGGAACGACTATAACCTGGATGACTGAGATATTTACCATGTAACGACCACCTGGGCCACAACATATTTGAGGACACGAGACAAACGTGAGGTTCAAAAGAATTATTTTATTCTTAATCTCTGGAACTTCTTTTTAGATCAGTTGTTTAGTTTTTTCTGCAAAGAGACAAAAAAACAGAGAGTCAGATTTTTCCTCAGTTCCCCATGTCCAAAAAAAAAACTCTAAGAGAAAAAAACTAAACAAAGTATGAACAGAAAGTTGGACCTGGTGAGCCGATCCAAAGCAACAAAACGTTACAGCAGAGGGCCAACGCTATACAGGGCCGTCGAAGCCTCTGCTGGTAACGAACTAACGGTTAAAACCCCAATAAAATAAAAAAAGGACGAAAACAGGACAACCGGTCCCACCAGGTCAAAGTTACAAAAAATCAGCAAAAAACAAAGGCTAACGGAAAAGAATACCACATGGCAGAGAGGTCAGCGGCGGCCTACAAAGACGGGAGACGTGCGCACCTCGTCTGGACGAGCTCGCTCAGAAGCTCGCTCAGAAGGTTCGAAGGGAGAGGGAGAGAGAGACTAACAGGTGGAAACCCAGCCTACTTATAGGTGGACCAATATCACACAAATTAAAGGAATAGTACACCCAAAACATGATTAGCCTTCATTTTCTACTCACCCCCATGCTGAACAACACTCTGGAGTACTTTTTTGATATCTCAAATGCATCTGGAGATCTGGGAGGCTTCTTGCTGTCTGCTGACATTCAAATAATGGAGGTCTATGGCGCCCGAGGCAGAAAGGTCCATAAAAGTCCACAAAAAACGTTTCAATATTCCTCCATACTGCTCGTCCAATGTATTCCAAGTGTCCTGAGTGGGTAGCATCCATAATTTACTCGAAAAAAAGTCATTTAGAATGTTTTTAGAGCATAAACAGTAGTGTATAGGATTTCCTGAAAGCGCGTCCACGAGTCTACGGAAACCGCGGCAGACCAAACCAGATGAAAGTGTAACCGATTTACAAAAGACTCTACTCTAAACCCTAAAATTTAAATGACTCAGCTAAGGTCTATACAACTCTAAAAGGAAAAAAGAAACAAAAATAATGAATGTGCCCGACGCACATAACACCAGTATATTGCACTTTTCTTAATCTACTTTCTTTCTACCTTTTTTTCAGGACCAACCCTAATGGAAGCAGCAGAATTTGGGCGGAGACTCTGACGTGACGCCAAATGAAGTCGGCGTCCTTAACATAAAGCTCGAGTGAAATGTCTCCCAATGCTGCTTTGGGAAAAAAAGAAACCATTTCAGTTTACATCAATGAATACCAAAACAGTGAATTTATATGTTGTTGGAGAATGCATCTAATAGCCAATCACGAAGATCACTTAAAGTACTATAAAATATGGGACAGGAAGAGATATTATCAGTAAAACCACTGCGGAGAAACCTGGACGCATTACGTTAGTTAGAAAGCTTCAAAGTTAGCAGGAACTCCTACTTCAACGGACGACTTCATGAAGAACTGATGGACTGACATCTTTATTTATTAATGTTACTTTGACATTTTGCTTTGTAATAATCCTCAAAACAACACCCAAAGTTTGACATTTTTCTGTTATTTCCACAAAATTGCCATCCATCTGATTACCTTTCAAGCACACAAACAACAAAATGATTTCTTTAATCCAGTCATGATTGTAATCAGCTTGTATGCATTTGAACATTTTTAGATTTCCTTTTGTATACTTTCCTTATGAACGGACCAAGTGTCTCCCAAACACCCACTGGGTTGGAAGAACAGAATTAGCATATTTTTAAATGACAAGACACAGAAAAAGGTTGAGAAGTTGACCAACGAGCTACTCTAGCCTAAATAAACGGAGTAATCAGCAGCAACCGTGTGTCTTAATATAAAAGGAGGACAGTAATATTGTAGTAAATGCCTTTTTCATCCTTTCAGTGCATTATTATAAATCTACAGGACAATGGAAATGATGGATTTGTTTATAAACCAACTGGCAAAAAACCAGTTCAGCACCAGAGTGGAACGATCCAGTCTGGACCTAATCTGGCTTTAAATTAGCGATGGAGATGGAAAACAGGCCTGGTAGGGATAAAAAGTAAGGCCAGGTAGTGCAGGAGAACCAACCATACTTTTATATGGGTTCCATTTTTAATGGACTTTATGCGAAACTCAACTGCTGTCATAAAATGGGACAGATGGACCCACTGTTCAAGGTGAAACACATGTGACCACGATCAAATGACTGGAGATGATTATCAGAGTGAGTCACTTACCTGGTTTAACGGTTCAGTTCATCCTCTCAACAATAGGCAGGATTAGCCGATGCACCGCCAACCAGATGTGGCCCTGAGCCATCCAGAGCGTCCACCATGCTGCAGCTCCAGAGAGCGGGCAGGAAGTCGATCTAGGTCAGGGAAAAACCGGATTCAGGAGACCTCCGCTCCATCAGAGGTTCCGACCCAAACAGGAAACGGAGCGATCCATGCTTCCAGGAATCCTCAGAGCATGAAGGCAGGTTCAGAGTCCCGTGCGTTGAGCAACCAGCGCACAGACAGGCAGAATCTAGCAGAAGTCCAAACATGGTTCAGGCAAACAGATCAGACAGGAGAGTGGATGAGAGGGAACGGAATCAGGATCACTAGGAAACGCTGAAACTGTCTCACCACTGGTTAGGGAATAAACCCGCCTGAGGACAAAGGCTCGGGAATAATCTCCTCACTGGAACAGCGACAAGAACCTTGGACTAACTACAACTTATGAAAACAGAACCAGACATCAAACAGGGAACATTGAAACAGCAAACAATGATCTGGCCCTGATAGCTGGAACTGAGCCCAATAAAAAGGAACAAACGCAGGTGGATGAGATCAGTGATAACTGGAGACCAGGCAGAGAAAAAATAAAGGCCAGCTATCAGGGCAGATCATGACGACGACTTCCTGAACTTAAGGCAGCTCTTTGGTTTCCTGCCTTTTTCCACTGGATGAACTGATTAATCCAGGTGTGCATGACCATGGAAGACGGGGGGAAAAAAAGAGCTGCTTTAAGTTCGGGAAAGTGGAGTTGTGCAGACAGCCCATTTACTTTGGACTGAGTGGTTCTTGAGTTGATAGTGACGTGGTGTTTGGGCCACAGATGGGCAATGTTGAGTCACCAAACCATCCCCATGCCTTGTATTATTATTATTATTATATTCTACTGAACCAGGTGAGTCCAACCTGCACAGTTAGCTACTCTGTTCTGATTGGACTCTCCTGGTTCAGTGGCAAAGGATGTGCTTTGAAAACCTCCAGGATTTACATTAACCTTTGCATCCATTGGTTTATCCAAGGCTTCCTTTCACCAGTGACACCATCCAAGTCACGAGGGATCCAAGGCATTTCCTGATGTCCCTCTAACGCCCCCGTCACGCCTTGACGATTTAGACCAGCGTATGCCTGACTTACAAATAATCTGTCAAAAATGTTGGATAAGTTATGAGTACGCTGAAACAAGCTGGCACATGTCGACATACGGCGACTACGTCGAGAAATTTAGAGCATTTCCAGCCATTGTCTGCCGTCCGTGGGCAGTCAGTTCCAGGTCAGTTATCGTTCAGTGTCAGTTCCTCATCAGTCGTGGCGTCTTAGCTGATCCTAAACCTCTGAGTAACTTATCCAGAACTTCTCTCCAACATATCAGCGTATCTGCCGTGTTCCAGACGAGCGCTGAACGTGTTTCTAACTTCCAGCTACTGTATAATGGCGTATTGGCAGCGTTTTGGTATAAAGGGGGTTCACAGGAGGAAACCGTCACACTGCAAAAACGATCTAGAAATAAGTAAAACATTTCTTAAATTAAGTGTATTTACCTTTAATATCAGTAGTTAAACAGGATGATCTGCCAATGAAATTAGTATTTTTACTCTTAGAATAAGATAATTAGATAATATGCTCTTAAAATAACTCAATGCAACTGTTTTTTCTTATTTTAAATGTAAATTGACTTGTTCCATTGGCAAAGTGTCTCACTTACCTCCTCAATTCAAGACAAAATGCACTTATTTTAAGAAAAAAATTACTTTTTAAGATTTAAATTTTTTGCAGTGCAGTTCTCCTCCAGACTTCATCCCCATCATAGGGTGAGCCAGAAGGTGAGTGATGGATCCTCCCTGCGTTCACGCCCACCACCAACACACTTCCTAGCAGACATGACGCTCAATCTGCTGCCACTGCAAATCCTCTTTCTTTTTCTTTTTATTTATTCTGTTTTTGAGGGCGGCTGGTAAACAGCAGCTAGGTTAATACCGCGATCAAAGACATCTTTTTATGCCTCTGGGGGCACCTGAGGGGAGCAGCTTTAACTGATGCTTCTTAAGTACGCTGCCGAGCGTTATGCAGAAGTTAAGCTGTTGTTGGACAGAAGTTCTGGACTCGTTTTGAATACTCTTTATATACGCCCAGAATTGAAATAAATCCATAGTAAGTTCAGGGTATGCCAGCATTGTAGGAGATTCTGGGACGTCAGGCAGACGCTGGATAAATTGGCAAGGTGTGACAGTAGGATGTGCCAGAAAACGTCTAAAGAGAGGAAACCAAGGAGCATCCTACGGGATCAGATGCTCAAACCTCAACAGCCGCTCTGCTCCCTCCAGATAACAAGTTTCTGCTCCTCCTACCTTTTAAGGCTGAGTCCAGCCAACCTCCACAGGAAACCTCATCTCACCCATTTGTATCAGGGAGGGTTTTATGCAGATGATGTGATTATTTCAACATCTTCAATATCTTCAATAATCCAAGCTACCTTCCTGGAGGTCAGGTGGCCTGGACTATTCAGCTCCACTTCTCTGCTAGACACAGATGTGACATCCAACCTGAGAAAAGGCAGACCGCTGTTCCTGGTGGAGAGACGAAGGCGTATGACTCAGTGGAGTTGAATAGTCCAGGCCACCTGAAGGTATGGAAATAAATCGTTACCATTTTTAAATAGGGATGCACGATATTGGGATTTTGGCCGATATCCGATATGCCGATATTTTAAAACTCATGTAGCCGATAACCGATATCGATACCGATGTTAAAGCTGGACAAAAATAAGTAGTCATTGAAAATAGCAGTTTTGTTATCCATTTCTGACACTTTGAAAAATAATATACTCAAATATATTTTCATATGTTGATATCAAATCAATTTTTAAAAACGCGGTATCGATCTATTTTACTTTCAAAATCTGGTGAAATTTCATCGTTCTGTTACAAACTTGTGATATTTTGCAAATTCTTGTGAGATTTTGTTAGTAAAATAGATCGATACCGCGTCAATATATCAACATATAAAAATATGGCAACATTTGGTGAATTTTCGGGGGATTTCGTAGCATAACGATGACATATAGCAATATTTCATTAGTAAAAGAGATTGATATGGTGTTTTTAAATGGCAATATATCAGCATAGGAAGATATTGGGATATTTTAATGGATCAATATTTTTTCCCTCGTCTTTAGAAGTTTTTAAGTCTGTAAAAAAGAAGTTTTTGAGGAAGAAGAAGAAGTAGTATTTATTTATTTTTTTAGACTTTAGAAACTCAGAAGCTGATCAAATATCGGGTTAAATATCGGTGGGCGATGTCCGATATTCGGTTTTAAGGCCGATTATATCGTGCATCCCTATATTTAAAATGAAGAAGCATTTCTGGAAATGCTTTTTTATTTTCAAATTTTACATTTCAAATGGAATTTTGGTCTGTATTTGCTGGGGTACATTTTGAAAAATAAATCTCAAATGTCTTTTTCATTTTAATTAAGTAAAAGGATGAGCAATCTTGAAGAAGAAAATTAAAATGCAAATAGGATGGTTGATTACTAATTTCATTTATGAGTCAAACAATGCAGCCACATTCTTAAAATGAAAAAGCATTTCTGGAAATGCTTTTTCATTTTCAATATGGTAACGATTTGCTTCCATACACATGAGGGATAAAAGGTTAGAGCAGTAAATTGGTGGCGGCGGTTTGGAGCTTCATCTGAAGTATTGATGAAAGTTCTGAACCAGAATGTGAAGCTCTTAATTGGGCAGTCCATCCACATTTCAACCTGGATCTCCAGTTACGAGGAATTGCTTCTGTTTGCATCCCAGCGACAAAACTGCTAAAGAAAATGGCTGAATTAGACCTGCTGCTTGTGATCAAGTTCTGCAGAGCTCTGGGAATAAGTTGGCCAATTGATTCTGGATATTAGATTATTTAGTTCAAACTTAGAGATAAGATGAGGAGCTCCATCATCTGGGTTGCTATTGGTTACAGTAGTAGCCATTTAAAATATCCCCACTATCCCTGATGGGCCCTTGGCTGGTCCCCTACCATTCCTTTTTAAATATCTAAAATATTCTTCTTCTATATATTGTAAAAAATTAAGATCTAAAGAGAAGCGCCATCTCCTGGTCAGACCCTGTAATTCAGTGAAAGTGTGGAGTTGAGGTCTGGTTATCCTCCTGCAGCAGTGTGTCGCAGGTATTTTTGATTTATGCCCAATATTGAAGCGTGGTCTGCGATGTTTTTCCACGCCACGACGCCAGAGAATCATGAACTAGCTGTGGGTCTAGATATGGCTGAGGCGGTTATTTTCATCTTTTAATAATGTCCGTTTGACTATCTAAAACATTGTGTGACAAAAGCTAAAGCTGAAGAAATCTGTAATGGAGTGAATGCTTTTTTTTTACATGTCTGTACATCTGCAACACTGATTAAAACCAAAAGAAAAGAAAAAAACCACACTGGTAACAAATAACTGAGCTGCATCATCCTTTGTTATGATCTCATCAGGTGGGTTTGAGTCTATTCCCTTCATATGGAATCCATTTTAACAGGAAACTGGCTGATAATCTTCTTCATAA